AAAAACTTGGGTAGCTTGGAAAGGAGACTGGACAAGTTTGTGAGCAGACCTTCTACAGTGTTCTTATGTGGGATAGCTTGAAAAAGCCCACTGTGTGGGCGAAACGTAGTCAATAAAGGATCACATTATACTGCATTTGTGTTTATATTGCCATTGTGTCGGTATTTTATACCATTTATTTCCAGGTACCTGGGTGCTAGTGGACTGGTGTGGGTCGCATCCTGGGGGACAAGATTGAAAGACCACAATGGAAATAAGTCAGACAGTCCTCGACGAGGCACTGACTTTCTTGGGTTTTCCTGGGTAGCTAACCCTCCGGGGTTAAAAACCCGAACAAAATCTTATCTCACTAACAGTAGCTTCCACTCATACCAACTGCTGCGATGGAGCAGCTTCCAGTCATACCAACTGCTGCGATGGAGCAGCTTCCAGTCATACATCAATATTAAGCTTCTGTTTCAAGCTTTCGTAAAATATATTTTATCACATTTTTTTATTTTGCTATATAAAAATAGTGCTGCCAACCAGACAGGCAGTACTTCCAATCTTGAAATAAAGCAGTACCAATCTTACTAGCAGTTCTACCAACCTCACAAATTATTACTAACTTTACTAGCAGTTCTACCAATCTCACAAATAGTTTGCTAACCTCACAAGCAGTACTACCAACCTCACAGAGTATGCTAACCTCACAAGCAGCACTACCAACCCTACTAACAGGACTACCAACATCACAAACTACTACACGTCTCACTAACAGTGTTACCAACTTCTCAAACCTCATAGCAAAGCTATTATCCTTAGAAACAGTCCTACCAACCACACTACCAAAGCTACCAACCTTATAAACAACACTATGAACTCACTAGCAGTGATACCAACCTCAAACTTCTAACTGTATTTATATGTATCTGTACTTGAATGAACTTACTAACCAACCCCACTAACATAGTCATGAACAGTACTGTGGAAAATAATCCCAATAACAAACGAACTCCAATAACAGTACTGACAACCACAAGAAGTGTCACGAGCGGTGTTCCACAGGGGTCAGTGTTGGGCCCCCTGCTCTTCACAATCTACATAAACGACATAGATGAGGGCATAAAGAGCGACATCGGCAAGTTTGCCGATGACACCAAAATAGGCCGTCGAATTCATTCTGACGAGGACATTCGAGCACTCCAGGAAGATTTGAATAGACTGATGCAGTGGTCGGAGAAGTGGCAGATGCAGTTTAATATAGACAAATGCAAAGTTCTAAATGTTGGACAGGACAATAACCAAGCCACATATAAACTAAATAATGTAGATCTTAATATTACGGATTGCGAAAAAGATTTAGGAGATTCTGGTTAGCAGTAATCTGAAACCAAGACAACAGTGCATAAGTGTTCGCAATAAAGCTAATAGAATCCTTGGCTTCATATCAAGAAGCATAAATAATAGAGTCCTCAGGTTGTTCTTCAACTCTATACATCCTTGGTTAGGCCTCATTTAGATTATGCTGCACAGTTTTGGTCACCGTATTACAGAATGGATATAAATTCTCTGGAAAATGTACAAAGGAGGATGACAAAGTTGATCCCGTGTATCAGAAACCTTCCCTATGAGGATAGACTAAGGGCCCTGAATCTGCACTCTCTAGAAAGACGTAGAATTAGGGGGGATATGATTGAGGTGTATAAATGGAAGACAGGAATAAATAAAGGGGATGTAAATAGTGTGCTGAAAATATCTAGCCTAGACAGGACTCGCAGCAATGGTTTTAAGTTGGAAAAATTCAGATTCAGGAAGGATATAGGAAAGTACTGGTTTGGTAATAGAGTTGTGGATGAGTGGAACAAACTCCCAAGTACCGTTATAGAGGCCAGAACGTTGTGTAGCTTTAAAAATAGGTTGGATAAATACATGAGTAGATGTGGGTGGGTGTGAGTTAGACCTGATAGCTTGTGCTACCAGGTCGGTTGCCGTGTTCCTCCCTTAAGTCAATGTGACCTGACCTGACTAGGTTGGGTGCATTGGCTTAAGCCGGTAGGAGACTTGGACCTGCCTCGCATGGGCCAGTAGGCCTTCTGCGGTGTTCCTTCGTTCTTATGTTCTTATGTTCTAATCTCACTAGCAGTGCTGCCAACCTCACAATTATTTGCCTTATTCACCAGATGTTAAGCTGTCCTAGAGAATGGTTGCTAAATGTTGATGGCTTAACTGTCATTCTTATTCATGAGTTTCTTTGTTATGTTGGCAAGTGTGTGGGTGAGGGTTGCGGTCAAGACGGCGCCAGCCAACTTGACAAGTTTCCCGCCTCCTTGGCGGCTTCCCTGTGATTGGTATCACTGGCTCTTGGGATTGGTAGCACTAGCATATAACATTGGTACCCCTGGGTTATGGAATTGGTAACACTGCCATTCAGAGTTGGTATCCCTGCATCTTAGAGATGGTAATACTAGATTGTTTATTAAAAGAATTATTATTATTATAATCAAAAAGCACTAAACCACAAGGGCTATACAGCACGTTATTAAATGAAACAATACCTGGAGGGTGTTCTGGGGGTCATCGCCCGTGGCCCAGTCTGAGACCAGACCTGACCAGACCTCGTGGTGGAACAGGACCTGATCAACCAGGCTGTTACTGCTGGCTGCATGTAAACCTACAAACCACAGCTGAGCTGGTCAGGTACTGACTTTATGTGCCTGTCCAGCTCCCTCTTAAAGGCAACCAGGGGTCTATTGGTAATCCCCCTTATGTATGCTGATTATTATTATTATAATCAAGGGGAAGCGCTAAACCTGTAGGATTATACAGAGCCTGGGGGGGATGTGGAAGGCATTCAGGCTTAATTCGGGGAACTGGAGCACAGATCCAATTCCCTAAATCAAGAGCCCCTCACGAACATCAAGGAACCTTCCCTGAGGGGTATGTATGCTGAGAGACAGTTAAACAGTCTTGGGCCCCAGACACTTATTGTGTTTTCTCATGCTGAGTTTTTTGCTCTCGTAGGGAGTGATATTCGTATGCAAATCTGGGACTAGTTTTTCTAAGAGTTCCTAAGTGTATATTGTCATGTACCTTTCTTGCCTGCATTCCAGGGAGTACAAATCAAGGGACTTCAACCATTCTCAGTAATTTAGGTGCCTTATCGTACTCATGTGTGCCATGAAAGTTCATTGTACATTCTCCAGGTCAGCAGTTTTGCCCGTTTTGAAAAGGGCCATTAGAGTGCAGCAGTATTCCAACCTAGAGAGAATCATCATGGGCTTTGCATCCCTAGTCTTGAAGGTTCTCATTATCATTCCTATCATTTTCCTACCAGATGTGGTAGATACATTATTAATATCTTTGAAAGTGAGATCCTCTGACATATAACAACTCTAGGGATGTAGAATGTCTTTGAGGTTTCTCCTCGAGACCATCTCAGTATTTCTCTTTTTCTTGCCCCATTTTCTCAGGTAAGGATTTATTTTAATGATACAAACATTTATACATTAAATCATTTTATTTATCAAATTATGAATCTTCTGCAGCTCCTTAGAAGTGAGAGATGAAGCAAGACTGCAGCAGACATGTCCTGGGGTGGCAGCCCTCCACTCTCCATCAACCTGCAATCAACTTCATTAACAAAAAAAAAAAAAAAAAAAAAAAAAAAGCAACTTTTCTACAAAGTGGAGTACAATATAAGGCTGACACTGGAGTAATTAAAATATATAAAGTCCTTTATAGAAAGTCCTACCTTATACATAGCATTTCCGGCAGTTGTCTTAAAATTAACTGATACAGTGGACCCCCGGTTAACGATATTTTCTCATTCCAGAAGTATGTTCAGGTGCCAGTACTGACCGAATTTGTTCCCATAAGGAATATTGTGAAGTAGATTAGTCCATTTCAGACCCCCAAACATACACATACAAACACACTTACATAAATACACTTACATAATTGGTCACACTGGGAGGTGATCGTTAAGCGGTGGTCCACTGTACTTACTAAACAGTGCGAGAACTGTAGCAATTTACTAAAATATCCATGTCCATGTGGTATTCAATTTTGATTGTACCTTTTCTGTCACATTAACAAATATGTTCACTGTGAGGAGAGGCTTTATGTGAGAGTTTACTGTGTTCTAAAACTCCCCTAACTACAAACTTCAAAAATATTGTCAAATATACCACCCAAATCTGATGTAGTTCACCTTCTTCTCACGTAATAATACAATAATAATAATAATGTGTTACCTCAAACAAATTGGGCAATATTAATTAATTCCTAAGCATTCATAACATACATTAAATATTTAATCTGAATTGTCAGACAAAGCCTAACCTCACATGCTACGACTAGTAGCTATTTAACAAATGCTTAATAGCCCAAAATGCTTTACATTACAAGGGACAAGAATAAGAATAAGATTTCGTTCGGATTTTTAACCCCAGAGGGTTAGCCACCCAGGATAACCCAAGAAAGTCAGTGCGTCATCGAGGACTGTCTAACTTATTTCCATTGGGATCCTTAATCTTGTCCCCCAGGATGCGACCCACACCAGTCGACTAAGACCCAGGTACCTATTTGCTGCTAGGTGAACAGGACAACAGGTGTAAGGAAACGTGTCGAATGTTTCCACCCGCCGGGAATCGAACCCGGGCCCTCCGTGTGTGAAGTGGGAGCTTTAGCCACCAGGCCACCGAGCCACCGGGCCATCCATTGCTTAGAATATGCAAGATAATGTACCAGTATTCTCATAACTGTAAACAATATGTAAACTACAAATATAAATTGTAAACCCAGCCATTGTAACTCATGTACACCATGTATATACATTCAGGTAAAAATCAAAAATTTTAATATAAATTTATTTTTTATATGTGTTATTAGCATGTATGGTATTAATATGCATTAACCTATGTTGTATTTTTATGTTTGGTATTAATATGTATTAACATGTATGGTAGTAACATGCATTAGCATACAAGGTATTAACATGTATTCTTGTATTGTTACAGCTGAGCGGGAGTGTATGGCATACGAGCCATTCAGGTGTCCAGGTGGACAGGTGTGCATCTCCATCCAGTACCTCTGTGACGGTGCACCTGATTGTCCTGATGGCTATGATGAGAACCCCAAGCTGTGTACTGCAGGTGAGTGTTACACACCTGTGTACTGCAGGTGAGTGTTACACACCTGTGTACTGCAGGTGAGTGTTACACACCTGTGTACTGCAGGTGAGTGTTACACACCTGTGTACTGCAGGTGAGTGTTACACACCTGTGTACTTCAGGTGAATGTTACACACCTGTGTACTGCAGGTGAGTGTTACACACCTGTGTGCTTCAGGTGAATGCTACACACCTGTGTACTTCAGATGAGTGTTATTGGCGAGGTAATTGCTAGCTGGATCATGGCAGTTTGGGATTTTTCTGGCTATGTTAGATCCTGTAAGTGAGAAGAAATCATTAAGTTTATCTACTGTTTCAACAATTTGGATTGGAGGTCCAATTGGTTTGATTAAAACAATTTCTTTCAGAGTTAGGAAACTTACAAGAGCCCATTATTTGTGAGTATAGTAAGAGCCTCCATATCCACTGATTTGGTATCCTCAGTTTCAATTATCAACGGTTTACCATGGCCCAAAAAAACTTTTAATTTTGCTTAATAATGGCCCCAAAGTTCAAAAGTAGTGATGGCGGCAGTTCTTCAAAGCCTAAGAGAAGCTGTGAAATGCTTCCCATGGATGAAAAAGTGCTAATTCTAAACTTATTTTCCATAATTTACCAATTACACTTTATCATAGGAATGTATGTAAACAAAAAATGACTTATATATAGGGTTTGCTACTATCCACAGCTTCAAGTATCCATGGTAGGTCTTGGAAGGTATCCCCCGTGGATATGAGAGGGATTGCTGTATTTTCCAGGTCTTTTTTTGTATCCCTTTTAGTTTATTAAACCTGCCAGCATAATACAATTGTCTGAATTTCCTTAATGGTTATTGTTGCTGTACAGTCTTTTATCGTTTTTTGGATAATGGTCACATCCTCTGTTGTTGCTTATAGTTACGATTTGTGTCAGTGATTTTGAATATACTCTTGGTTAGCCATTGGTTAGTTAATGTCTGTTGTGATCTTGGTTTTGAAGGTCATTGCTCATGATCGAGTCTTTCAGTTTTTTGTAGCAACACGCAAACACGTGAATTAATGTCAAGATTGTCTGTAGACATACTTTGCCAGTTCATTTTTACTGATTGCTGTGGTAAAGTCATTTACTAATACCTCATCATTGAGCCTGAATGTTATTTTACTAGTGTTGAGTGGTAATTTAGTTATGGAAGGTAGCAACTGAATTAGGAAGATAGTGTAGTGACCAGTTGAACTGACATTGATGATGCCAGCTTTAAGAGGAGTGGTTCCTGGGAAATGTTGAGTAAAGAGATTTGATCTAAGAATAGGGGACCACAGCTCTGGTTCCTTGGATCAACATCCCTTCAGCATTAATGCACCACTTTATCCCATTCACCCCATTCTTCCTTCAAGGTTAGCACTACTTAATACAAAGTAGAAGATATATTAGGCACCTTATAATTGCTGCATATTTATAAGTAGGTAGTAGGTTGGTAGACAGCAACCACCCAGGGGGGTACTACCGTCCTGTCAAGTGAGTGTAAAATGAAAGCCTGTAATTGTTTTACATGATGGTAGGATTGCTGGTGTCTTTTGTCTGTCTCATAAATATGCAAGATTACAGGCATGTCTTGCTACTTCTACTTACACTTAGGTCACACTACACATACATGTACAAGCACATATATACACACCCCTCTGGGTTTTCTTCTATTTTCTTTCTAGTTCTTATTCTTGTTTATTTCCTCTTATCTCCATGGGGAAGTGGAACAGAATTCTTCCTCCGTAAGCCATGCGTGTTGTAAGAGGCGACTAAAATGCCGGGAGCAAGGGGCTAGTAACCTCTTCTCCTGTATATATTACTAAATGTAAAAGGAGAAACTTTCGTTTTTCCTTTTGGGCCACCCCGCCTCGGTGGGATACGGCCGGTGTGTTGAAAGAAAGAAGATCTGAGTTTTCTTTGATTTTATCTTAATAGTTCTTGGTCTTATTACTTTTCCTTTTATATCCATGGGGAAGTGGAATAAGAATCTTTCCTCCGTAAGCCATGCGTGTTGTAAAAGTCAACTAAAATGCCGGGAACAATGAGCCAGTAACCCTTTTTCCTGTAATGATTACTAAACAGAATAAGAAGAAGAAAATTGTCAAAGTGGGATGTCTGAATCTGCGTGGATGTTGTGCAAATGATAAGAAAGAGATGATTGTGGATGTTATGAATGAGAAGAAGCTGGATGTCCTGGCTTTAAGTGAAACAAAGCTGAAGGGGGTGGAAGAGTTTCAGTGGAGAGAAATAAATGGGATTAGGTCAGGGGTTTCAAATAGAATTAGGGCTAAAGGAGTAGCAATAATGTTGAAGGATAAGCTATGACAGGAAAAGAGAGAGTATAAATGTATTAATTCAAGGATTATGTGGAGTAAAATAAAGGTTGGATGTGAAAAGTGGTTATAGTAAGCATATACAGTATACACCTGAAGAAGAGAGAAGTGTAGAGGAGAGAGAGAGATTTTGGGAAATGTTGAGTGAATGCGTGGGGAGTTTTGAACCAAGTGTGAGAGTACTTGTGGTTCGGGATTTCAATGCTAAAGTGGGTAAAAATGTTGTGGAGGGAGTAGTAGGCAAATTTGGGGTGCCAGGGGTAAATGAAAATGGGGAGCCTTTAATTGAGCGATGTGTAGAAAGGTTTGGTAATAAGTAATACATATTTTATGAAAAAAAGGAAAAATGAAAGTTTCTCCTTTTACATTTAGTAATATATACAGGAGAAGAGGTTACTAGCTCCTTGCTCCCAGCATGTTAGTTGCCTCTTATGACACGCATGGCTTACGGAGGAAGAATTCTGTTCCACTTCCCCATGGAGACAAAAGGAAATAAACAAGAACAAGAACCAGTAAGAAAATAGAAGAAAACCCAGATAGTTGTGTATATATATGGTTGTACATGTACGTGTAGTGTGACCTAAGTGTAAGTAGAAGTAGTAAGATTACCTGAAATCTTGCATGTTTATGAGACAGAAAAAAGACACCAGCAATCCTACCATCATGTAAAACAATTACAGGCTTTCATTGTACACTCACTTGGCAGGATGGTAGTACCTCCCTGGGCAGTTGTTGTCTACCAACCTACTACCTAAGATATTTATAATTATATACGGCCGGTGTGTTGAAAGAAAGAAAAAGATTTATAAAAAAAATAAGATTTTACAGACAAACACATTTGTATTACATCAGAGTGTAGGTATTCATCATGGGTATATTGCTTCAATACTTCATCTGTAAAAGTTCATGACATATTTTAGAGGCACAAATTTTGTTAAGACAAAATGTATGGAAATAAATGGTATCAAATACCGACACAGTGGAAATATAAACACACATGCAGTACAATGTGATCCTTTATTGAAAGAGATGATCACATTGTACTGCATGTGTGTTTATATTTCCAAGACAAAATGTAAATGGTTCCAGTGATACCTCAGAAAGACAGTAATAGTTCATATGCCCAATAAATAACCCTGAGTGTCAAGTATCCTAGAAGCAGTGTAGCATTCATGCCTCCTGATGCCATTAATCACTAAACACACTAGTATTACTGAAACATCTTTTCTACTTCAAAGTGTCGGGATAATTACTAATAGGACAAAGAACCACTACCCTAATTTCTAATAACTAATACCAAAAAGTGCACACCCAAAATGCTGCTTCAATAAACTTATTCATTTGATCTCTGTTCAAACAAATCTAATGGCATATGCTAATCTTTTTATGTACTTTATTTTGAGACCATGATGCAGGTCTCACAATACATAAGTTATTCTGTTAGACTAGTTTCCATTTTCTCACCTAAAACTTTTTAGCAGCAAAAAATTCTAACTGGAACGAACCTTAACCCTTAAATGTTCCAAACGTATATATACGTTTTTTCAGCATCTGAAAGTATGTAAAAAAATGTAGATCTTTTTTTTTTGTTTTACATTTAAAAACATGTAAAAAAACTTTTATCTACATTTTTTTTTTGTTATATTTGAAAATATATAAAAAAAAGTAGATCTACTTTTGTAGCTACGAATTTGAACGTCAATCTGTTTGGACCGTTTAAGGATTAAACAAAAGAATAAGAGTAAAGTACTACAATAGATCTTTTGCCATATGCTGACAGGTTCTGTTCATTTGTACTTATCTGATCTATTACTATAAAGCTGTCTAAATTGTTTCCTTCAGTAGCTTTACTGCACTTATCAGTTTGTTCATGTTATCTATAATAACTGTACTCTGTTATGTATCTAGTGTTTTCTATATAAGAGAACACCTACCTCAAGAATCATTAACTGTTGCTAATATTTCAGCCAAGCGACCTCCTGTGGAAGAAACTGCTTCCTTCCTGCAGTCGCTGTTGGCGTCCCATGGTCCCAACTACCTGGAGAAGCTGTTCGGCAGCAAGGCTCGCAATGCCCTGCAACCCCTGGGAGGTGTTGAGGCTGTGGCTGTAGCTTTGTCAGGTCAGCATCACCACCACCCTTCCCTAACCCTTCTCAAGGCCTTCACCTTATTACACAGAATAATTTTTACATTCATGGGGTAGAGTTAAACCCATAGTGATCATACGGAACCTGGGGAATGGGAGGTGATCAGGTACTTAAGTCAAAATTTCCTTGAATCAAGAGCCCTTAGCATACATAAAGGCACCACCTTGAAGGGCACCCTCATGTTAATACCTTCAAAACTTCCCTTCTTCACTTAAAAAATCTTACTTTAGATTTTTTTTTTTTTTTTTTTGTTTAATGTTGAAATCAGTTTAGGATTGTAGAATTTTAATAAATATGCAATTAAGAATCAAAGGAACTGTTAACATTTGGGATTTTAAAGTTCTTAAGGAATTATTTAAACTAAAAGTTATTGAAAGGAATTAGTAGTGTGCACAAAAACTATAGATATTTTACATGTTAATAGAGTCCTTTTAAGGATAGTAGTACGTACACGTATATTTATTTTTTTTAAATTCACAATATTTGTTTAAACTTTGTAAGAACACAGTGGTAACCTTCGTTTTAATGGCTCTCTATATAACAGACTTTGGAAATGCAGAAAAAACTCTATTGGATCAGTTGTTTTGAAAAGGACAAGGTTCACTGGATACATAATTGTGGGTTATTGTTAGTATGCAGTGGCGGCTTGTCCATAAGAGCTGCAGAGCTGCAGTCTCACCCAGATGCTTACTGTGAGATGTATGACTTCATCAACCTTATGCTAAAATAATTTGCAACTGACAAATATATTACAGGAAAAATCTGTTATATGTTGTTTTCAATGTATTTATAAGTGAATTTTTAATTTTTTTTTTGTTGAAATGAGATAAAAAATGACTAAAAATAGAAGTTTGATGCAGTACAATAGTATAGGTATTACTGGCATTATGAGCCACCACTGTTAGTATGAGAGCAAAACACTCTTATCTCTCCACCACAATTATCACTACTAGTCATCCTTTTTTTGTTATAAAGCTATGGTGATTACCCTAATAGTAATACAGTACACGGTAACTCTGGCAGTAGTGGAATTCAGGACAAAAACTGCTGGATCATTTGATTCAGAAACAACCAAGTTTGCTGATTGCAGAATTGTTTGTTATAGTTACTATCATGGCAAAACAATCACATCTCTATCTGCCACAATCACCATTACTTGTCATCTGTTCCCTAATATTCCATTATATTGAGAGTATTTTTTTAATTGTTTAAAATATACTCTGCTTTTAACTCCAGAAAAATTGGTCTGTGATGACATTGCAAAATTTGACACCAATTATCCTTGAACAATGACTGAGAATACCTTCCATCTTGCAGAATCACAGACCATTGACAGCTTTGGGGACACCCTCCACCTGATGAGGTCTGACGTAGAGCATCTTCGATCCGTCTTCATGGCAGTGGAGAATGGAGACATTGGTATGCTCAAGTCTCTGGGCATCAAGGATTCAGAACTGGGTGATGTCAAGTTCTTCCTTGAGAAGTTGGTCAACACTGGCTTCCTTGACTGAGAAGTTCAAGTTATAAGTCCAGCAGAGCAAGGAGGAGCTATGGAAGGATGAAGTGCTGCTGTGACAAGATTGAAATACAAAAAAAAAAACTGAAGGCAGGATAGAATGATAAATATGAAAATGGAAGCTCTTTATAAGATAGCAAAAATAAAAATACAGAAATAGCACAGAAGTTGAAGCATTAATGCAAAGGAGAGAGGTAGTACATATTGTTTAGAAAATTTAGACTACATAGTATTGGACACAATGTTACATGGGAAGAGGCTGTTGACATGACTGGAGGAGCAAAGATTAGACAGTTACTGAGCAGGCAGAGAATAAGAATATTTTTCCAACCATTTCTCAATCACCAAGAAAATTATTCTATTGAGAGTGTTATATAAAGGGAGACCTGTTGGTCTTTAGACTAGTAACTCTGCAGCAGCAGGTGACCTTCACACATTAGCCTCACTGCTAATTCCCAATATGTTACAACCAATGTACTGTTATTGTTTGAATTCTATATCATAGATAAATCCACAAGTAGACTTAATTATCCTTAAGCTGATGTATAGCATGTAGACCTATCTTATAGCCTTATTAGGTATATTTTTGTGAATATGTAATATCTTTGTTCTGTCAGCATCCATTAAATTTATCTAGGAATTTCTCAAAATATTTTCTGTGATAAGTGTTTGAGAGAACAACTGTTTTGTAAACAGAAGATAAACTCTCATCTATGAAGGTTTCAGAAGCTCTGAGCCCAAAAATACTCTTTTTTTTTTTTTGACCTTTGTATTGCACATACACTTTTACTTGTTAATTATTTTTTAATTTATTATTGTCAAAATTTCATTTGATTGTTTTTCACTAGATGTTGGACTACTGCACTTTGAACTTCGACGCCTCGTAACAGATGTATGACAAAATATATACTCAGTGTAGTTCATTTACTGAATATTTTCCATAAAAATTCCATTAATTGTTGGTATTGGGAAGTACTAAACCCATAAGGGTCATAGAGCACATGGGGAATGTAAGGCAATTAGGTTTCATCTGAGGAAAGGGAAGATAGATCCAGTTCCTTGAATCAAGAACCTTTTACTCTCCTCAAAACAGCCTTCCTCCCCCTCCTTTCCTCCTCTCCTTCAAGGGAGAAAGGAATCCCAGTATTAAAGATTCTTTGAAGTCATTATTTCCAGTATTCCTTGAAAATGGCCAAGACATTTACAAACCTGTTGGCTGGCTCACCGCCCCATCGTTTAAGACTAAAAAACTGACTGAAGAAATGGCTCTGTTACAATGGCCACTGTGGAAGTTGGTTTTTTAATTGTTAAGTTGTTAAACATAAATTATCTTCACTCCTGTCTCAAGTGTTTCAGCTTGACTGAGGACATCTTGCAATAGTACATGATGTGGGAATACTGACAAGCAGAAAATTTAAGAAAGTTTGACCTGTGAAGAAGGCTTTGTGAAAACTGATATATTATACCTGGTGGTAGCAAAATAAGGGAACACAGTTGGGTGTGAAAACAGGAATTTAAGCAGTTATTGAACACTGCAGTAGGCCTACTGGCCCATGTTTGGTAAATCTTGAGACACATTAGCATGTTGAATAGTGTTGGTAATAGTAGTTGTAGTGGCTGTAAGTTCTCAGTAGTATACCTGGTTCAGTTTCTGTATAGGCAGTGGTTTTGTCAGTCATAAGCTGCCTTTGTTTTGTGTGATTGTATATGGTGTTTTGATTAGCACTGTTTCATGACATTTTCTCTTGTATTTTGTATTATGAGTTTTGAATCTGAAAATCTTATTAGACATATGCATTGTTTCTAGTATCAGTTTGGTCTGCATACTTATGCTCATTGAGTCACATACTGAAACTGTTAAAAGCTTAAGTAACTGAATCAACAAGCACAATTACATAGATAGTAGGAATAATGAGTGAGTTCAAAATAAAAATTCACACAGCCATCTAACGAGATTTTCAAATTCAAAACTTATAATACAAGGAGAAAAATGCAAGCGAAAATTCTATAAAAGAGTTCTAATCATGATATCAAACATAGTCACACATAATCAAGGCAATTTCAAATTGGTAAAACCTCTGCCCATACAGAAACTGAACCAGGTATACCACTGAGAACTTCCAACCACTACCACCGCTACTATTACCAGCACAACTCAACATGCCAATGTGATTCAAGATTTTATCTAGCATGGACTAGTACACTTAATGCAGTGCCCCTTCGATATTTGCTTAAATTCTTTTATTCATACCTGACTCATGTTTATCTGCCTATATTGTGTTACTATCAGATATACCAGACTTCATGAAGCCTACTGCATAGGCAAAAATTTTCATGTTATATATATACAATACCAATAAGTTGATAGAGTAGGACATATGTGCAACACTTAGGTACCTTTAGTGATGAAACATTTCACCTGCTCTGCAGGCTTCGGCAGTTGAATACAGAGATGAATTACATTCCTGGAGACAGTAGATAATGTAAAGTAGTAATTTGAGGTAATTAGTCCTTCAGCCTTGATGGAAAATAATCAGTCTTAGCTTGAGGCCAGATGCATATATATTGGATTCCAAAGTGTAGTCTAGGAGCTTGGATATGAGGTCATAAATAAGCTGGGCCCACTAGTGAAAGTAGGTCATCCTAAACAGTTGTTAGCAATGCAGTTATTGAAGACATCCCTGTACCATTATACTATGTCTTACTGTCACACACACATATTACATATAAACAGTGCCATAAAGTTGATGAGTATGATACCAAAAGTATCTTTAGTGAATAAATGTTTCAACTGCACTGCTGGCTTCATCTTTTGAACACACAGATGAATTAGTCCTGGAAACAGCAGACTAAGTGGAGAGGTAGCTTGAGGTAATCAGTTACTGTGCTTCTTAGCCTAAAGCTAAACAGACTGATTATCTTCCATCAAAGCTAAGGGACTGATTACTTCAAACTACCTGTCCACCTTGTCTACTGTCTCCATGACTGTAATCCATCACTATTCCACTAATAAAGCCTGCAGAGCAGACAAAACTTTTCATCAATGAAGATACCTAAGTGTTGCACATCTTATCTATTAACTTGTCAGCATTGTATACCAGTTATGTGATGCATACTTGCTTGTGACACCATGGTGATACGTACTTGCTTGTGACATCATGGTGATACGTACTTGCTTGTGACACCATGGTGATACGTACTTGCTTGTGACATCATGGTGATACGTACTTGCTTGTGACACCATGGTGATACATACTTGCTTGTGACACCATGGTGATACATACTTGCTTGTGACACCATGGTGATACGTACTTGCTTGTGACACCATGGTGATACGTACTTGCTTGTGACACCATGGTGATACGTACTTGCTTGTGACACCATGGTGATACGTACTTGCTTGTGACATCATGGTATCTTAGTACAGGGATGACTTCAATAACTGTTTTCCATGACCTACTTCCACTTGTGGGCCCGACTCACCTGTGACTTCAACTCCAAGCTGCTACACACTTCCAGTTCCAGTGTACATTACTGTAAGCCTCTGGTCTCATGCTTTAACCTTAAGTTAAGACTAATTACCTACCATCAATGGTGAGGGACCAGTTACCTCAGACTACCTCTCTACTTCATCTACTGTCTCCTGGATCGTAATTCATTTGTGTGTGTGTGTGCAACTGACAAAACCTGCAGCACATCCAAAAGTTTTGTCAATAATGATATACAGTGGACCCCCGGTTTACGATATTATTTCATTCCAGAAGTATGTTCAGGTGCCAGTACTGACCGAATTTGTTCCCATAAGGAATATTGTGAATTAGATTAGTCCATTTCAGACCCCCAAACATACACATACAAACGCACTTACATAAATACACTTACATAAGTGGTCGCATTGGGAGCTGATCGTAAACCAGGGGTCCACTGTATAAGTGTTGCAAATGTAACTTACTCATTAGGCAAAAATTTTTCTTGAATAAAGTTTCTAATTGCTGATTGTGTGGGGAGATTTTGTTAAAGTATCTGTGAATTATGAACCAAAATATTATTCATTGCCTGGGAATGAACCAACAAAAGCACTAATGACCCATTTTCAATTGCAGTTTATCTATTTATAAAACCACAGTAGCTGTAAGTGCAGGAGTGTAGATATAATTTACATAGTAATGTTTTTATAACACTTGTATTACACTCAAAGTATTAACGGTTCCTAGTAACTATTGTTAGTGTTTGTGCACTTTAATTATATTTACAAATATTTATCACATCTTCACTAGCTATTCAAAATAGGCATGACATTTTCGGTGACACTTAACAATGTTTGCAAAATCTTCAGGAACAATTATCTGTATTAATATTCGTAAGGGTGTAACAACAGTTTAGGAAAGCCATGCTAACAGCTACACCAACAGCTAAACCAACAATAACAGCTACACCAACATTAACAGCTACACCAACAATAACAACCACACCAATAACTCTGACAATAGCCACACAAGAGCTACACAGACACCAACCACTACACCAACAGTTCTTGGGGCTTCCTTCCTCATAACAAGCTTTTAAACTTCATAATAAATTTTTACTCTTTTGTTAGAGTAAACATGAAGTAACTCAGCACACAGTCTCTCAGTGTAAGGCCAACACCTATATTACTGTTCTCTTGTTTGTCTCTGTGGGTTCGTTTGTCATGGATCAGTTTCTGTTATACTGTAGTATTTGGATGAACTAACACGATAATTACTGTAGGTTCAATGAATTATAACAGTGAGCGAGTGAGATCATATCAAAGTTTTAAGATTCACGTCACATGATGTTCACCAAGAAGAAAGAGACATATTTACCAAGAGGAAAGAGGCTTAAGACATTTACCAAGATGTTTACCAAGAAGAAAGAATCCTTGAGTCAACCTTGAAATATTTATATTGTTTAAAAGTTTACCAGATGGTCATCCCCATGTTGAGAGATTCTACCTAAAGTTTGTGTGGTTACTATGTCTTCTCTGCATGCATGGTGCTTGCCTTCACTTAGTGTACAGCTGCACAAATACAATATTCTCTCTGGGTGTTATGTTAGTGTAGAGGGCAATAATGACAATATCCTTTACTCCTCTGTGTGAGCAAATCCTCTGAACACACACCACATCATCTCCATTCTCTCCCACTTGCTCTTCCTCTTTGCACTTCCCTTCCTCACTTCCCCTTTTCAATTTTGCACCTCCTTTTCTTCATCTTTCAATTCCCCGCCCCTTCCCTTCTCCCACACACCTCTCCTCCCCTCCCCAACTGCTGTCTAAGACAGGTTTCCTGAGATCTATCAGGAGGCCAGTTGTCTTAGACAGTTTCCCTGGGGTCTGTCCAGAGACTTAATAACAAGGACGGGTATTGGCAACATTTCCACAATTTCCTTCTGTGGTTGCCATGTTTGTGCCTGACTTGGACTTCAGCTTAGTCTTATAACTGAGTTTATATATGTAAAAACAGTATATCTATTTAAGCCTTATTAATGAGAATCATTCTGCTTCAGTTATAATGCTGTAAATAACATCAAAAAACCTGGTTCAGTATAAGACAACCATGGATAAGTTTCAGTACAATGGCTGAAACAAATTACAACCCTTAATTTGGAGAGGAAACTATAATTTCATCAAAAATGGGTTAGTTATGAAGACAACCATAAATTCTCTGTATTTTTTCTTCAAGCAGCAAACTGCCTAAGAGACTATAGCTTTACATACATATTTTCGTAGCAGCACTGAATACAATTACAGTCAAGTTACATGTATTCATACAGTACACTGAACATACATTTATAAGTTTTCCTTCTTAAAAAGAAGACATTTGCTCTCTCTCTCTTACTTCTGTTGTGAAGACTTAATGATAAAAATAAATCAGCATTAGCACGAACAGACCTTGATACCAGTGAAGGGCTCTTGACCCTCAGTAGTGAATCTATCTTCACCTTGGATTGAAACACCTATATGGGTTTAGAACCTGTCTTCAAATTTACTGTAATAATAATAATTGGATTGAACCTATTGCCTGTCAGTACCCATGCATGATCCCTGCAGATTTAGAGCTTTCCCTAATTATAACATTAGTGCACACCGTAATAATAATACAAGAACAGACAGGCTGTATTATGTACCATGGAAAGTGAACTTTACAGGTTTAACATTGTCTTTATAACTGAACACGTCATCTGCAAATACTCATAATATTATTGGTATGTTCATGGGCAAGCTTTAAACCTTTAGGAGGTCTTACAGCACCTGGAAAATGGAAAGTAATCAGGTTTATTTCAAGGAAGGGGAGAGTACCTCCAATTCCTTGGATCAAGAATCCTTTACCAGCATCAAGGCCCTCCCTTCACTTACCTTGAAGGGGAAACTACTGTAACATGATGAGGGGAAGTAAATTACCTCGGAGAGTACTGTCTTAGGGTCAAACTGGCGAGACACCGACTAATGAAGACACAGTACGTACTGTACTAGAAAGAAATGAACTATAATGCTGTATATCATTTTTATCCTCTGTGATAGTCTTTGTTATTATATTCACGGAAAAATGCTAAAACCCAGGTCATACAACAACGGAAGAGTGATTAGCAACCAGGGTTGATCTGAGGAGAGGGAGGATAACTCCAATTCCTTGGATAAAGAGCCCTTCAGCAGCGTCAAAGCACTTTTTCTGAAGGAACAAGAAACTTTCTATGTAGAGAGAATTCATTTAACCATGAGTGATGATTACTTTTAAAAGTTATTAAGTTAAGATGGCAAATTTCATAAGAGACTCATGTGAATCTTTTGTATTATATTTTACAGCTGTGCTCTGTGACTAAAATGTAAATTTTCATTCTATCTCGTGGATCTATTGGGAAGGTTGTAGTACCACACGTACGTCAAGCTATGTTTATAACATTATGTGGGAAGCAGAGGAGGAGGAGGAGGAGAAAATACCTTCATTGCCACCACCAAACATCTATGTTATCAATATTATGGTAACCTTAAACAATTTATGAAGCACACTGTTTTCTTTCATCTAAAAATAAAGTTTCACCATTTCTATAAGTTTTTTCTATCCCAATATGTATCTTATGTTATGTTAGATTTATGATGCACATAAAGAAAGATAAGGTGGACCAATTGAATCTACATGGGTTTGAATTATTATTTTTTACAGAAAGCACTAACTTGTATGGGTTCACCACAATGTTATGACAGTGCTGATGTTACTATATGAAGGCTGAAAGGAAGTTATAGATGGTGCAGTACAATAGCTTCAGATAAAAAAATCATAAAATAAATTTACATTAAAGATAAGACTATCAGAGAGGAGATCAGACAGAATAAGCATATGAACACATTGACAATCAGTCATCAGTTGTTGAACTGTCAACATGGCCTCATAATTTTTGCAGAGTAGCAGTAAGTGCCTTTTCATGAGATTCCATGTGTGAATCACAACACCAACACACTCACAAGAGCACTTCTTCCCATAAGTGACAGTGATGAACAGCAGATGGTCAGAAGTACAACTGGGGGGTTGGTTAAAAGCAGCCTGTCGGTCACTAATTTGGACAAACAATTCTACCAATGATCATAAGAGTACTGAAAAAATAAAAGGGTCTTTTAATACATGTTAGGTTTCTGTGACTACTATAATGAGGTAGATATGGCAACAAGAAGTGCATAAAACTATGCTGTAAAAATATTGGTCATCTTAGCAGGCATTCTTGAAATACATTATCAGAAAAAAATTGTATACCCAACTCCATTATTAAGATGTTACTTGATTATTATTATGTTCAAGGAGAGCACTAAAATCGTAAGAGTGATACAGCACTCCACGGCAGAGGGAAAAGAGATGGAAGGGCTGAAAGGATGGTTGTCAAATTTGATGAAGTAAACCACTGTCAGTTAGGAAAGTCAAGAGTGTCTGCAGTAAAGGTGGGGGTCACCAGAGAGGAGGGTGGTCAAACTTATTATATATGGATGTTGATTTTGAGACTCTCTGATCGCGAGTTCTCCCCACCCGTGGTTTGTTTGCAATCGTGTCATTACAATTTCATGAGTCAACCTGGATATCATTACAGCATGCCTTTCCATGAGGTAGCCATGTGAGTCTAGTATGCACAGTGAATAACTGAGTTCATGCTTCCCACAAAAAACAGTAATGTAGAGAAAATGGCCAAAAATCCAATTTGATTTGATGGAAAAAAACATTTTTGTTCACTAATAAGGACCAGTGACAATGCCAACAATCCCAATGACCTGAATGAATACCAAAAGAAATCACAGAATAGTAAACACCTGCAAGGGGTGGAAAGACAAATTGTAAAACAAACTGAAGCATCTTTAACTTCAGTTTCTTGAATCTCAGTACATCCAAGGACCCAACAGAAGAAAATCTCATGTCTGCTAGAGATATGGTAAAGCCAATGCTGAATATCAATGATTAGGGACTGCAAGTAATCAAACATCTTCATTCTTTGCAATGTGCACCACAAATTTGAGATTATAACAACAAATGAGTCTAATAAAGCTGCTCTGTGAAAAACAACAGCAAGAATAGGATGTAACTTTAACTGTGAAAATTAGACACCTATGATAACTAACCTTCAGACATAAGATCATGAAAGTAGCCACATAGGAAATTCCAGTGACAGTTTTGGAATCATCTTCATACACGGCTGTAGTATTAATGTGTGTCAGAAAATGTTCAAGAAAGAATGAGAACATGTTCAAGGCTGAAAGGTAAGACTTCAGAAATAACAAGAGAGAAGAACAAAATTAGATCATTGGGATTTCTCTTGGTGGTTGAGAATAGTAAGAGGAGAAAGAACATAAAGAGGCAGTATAGATGCTCCTCGCTTTATAATGGTTCAACTGGCAATATTTCAACTTTACAATAGCGTTATAGTTATGCACATTCAGTAGTCATCAAAGTTTGAATTTTGATCATCTTCATATCACTACATGTACTGTACTTGTATCATCTTTGGGTAATCTAGTCAATGTACTGTGAATCTTTTTTTTTTGTATTGTACAGTCCGTTTATTGACAGGATAAACTTACATTCACTTATTTACTTTTCAATACTGGTATTTAGTTAGTTATAGTATTATTTACTTATTCAGTGACAGTAGTTATTTACTTATTTATCATATCATATTCATATTCAACTTACAATACTTTCAACTTAGGACTGGTTCATCGGAACATGGCCCCATCATAAGACGAGAAGCACCTGTATTAAATTGCTCTGAATTCTTTTTTACGTGGATCTGGGGAAAAGTTGGTCAATATAATTCAAATAATTAGCTTTCATGTTATATTTGGCAGTGACATATCACTTACCCTGCAAGAAGGTGAGACTTCACAAAATCCAATGATGCTTTCTAGGAAAACATACCATATTGATACTGCCACTGTAATATACAATTTTGATACTTCCAATAATCATTGCAATTAATAATTTTATCCTGAGACAACTTATTTTCTTTTATAACACACAGGTTGTCTCCCACCAAGGCAAGGTGACCCAAAAAAGAAATGAAAATTTCTTCTTTTTACTCCGTTTATAAGTGTCTGACCCACTTTAGCATTAAGGTCCCTCAGCTCAAAACTCCTTAAACATTCAACTAACTACTAACAAAATCTGTCTATATGCCCCTACTATAACCCACTTCTCACATCCCACTTTGCTCCTGGAGTTTTAATTGTCTCTTAAGACACACGTAACTTACAGAAGAAGAATTCTTCTCCACTTCACCATGGAGAACTTAATTTTGTAAAACTTAATAAGTACTAACACTAGTACTTATGTTCATGGATCACTAGTACTAGTTTTAAGTTCTAGTTTTGGTGTACCCAAAATGCTATTTATAATCAGGGGCTTTTCAAAATATATGGAATAAATATCGCCTAATTTTGTAACAGTTACAGGACTAAACATTTTCAGAATGAAATTTGTTTGATATGTCGTGGCCAAAACCAGATACAGCGCTTTACTGATACCAATATTTGCTTTATCAATAAAAAATGTATTTAATACAGTTTTATTTCGTAAGTACAGATGAGAGGCATGAGAAAATTATAAGTAAAAATATTCCAATTGAATTAAAAATTTGCTAATACACTTTTAATATTAACTCTAATATTAGGTCCTTGATTTGATCTTTTTGAGAACATTGCTCTGCTCCAGCGCTGCTTTCCGCTTCCTCTGTAATGAGAAAAGAGTGCGTGTCAATTATCTAAGTCAATAATAATATTAGTTAAAGAGTTGGTGGTTTATGGGAGCAGTATTTCCCCCTCAACTATTCCAGTACAGTCATACCCTGCTTTAGGTCATTTTGGCCTACATCAAAATCGCCCTTACGCCACTTTTCTAGAGTAAATTTCAGTTCAGCGAACATCATTATATCCGACTTTATGTCACTCAGCAACATCAACTACATCATAAATTTTTAACTATTCATTATTCTTTAAAAAATATGACTAATGTGTTTTAAGTATTTTTTAAGGTTTAGCAATAGTTATATTCTTTCGCAAGTTATTTATGCTAGCTTTACAGTGTTTGTCGTCATTTTAAGACATTTTTATGTCAAGTTTATGTCAAGAAACGGGTTACATCACAGCTCTTGGAACCAATTAATGATGTAGGGTGGAGTATGACTGTATATGTATCTCAATAATAACAAAATGTTATGGTCTCATTTTTGGCATCCACTGACAAACATTTTTCTTTCAAAAGATTCCAAAACATTCAGTAAATTTCTGTCATATACCTTTCCCAAATATACTAAATAAATTTAAGAAACAGCTATTTTCCTTTATCTAAGCACTGTTTAATTACTGTATATGATTAACCCCACAAATCTCTTTCAGGTATATACATGTACAGGTAGGTTTTCAAGGATGGGTCCTGGCCTGGGACGTCTCCATGCACATCCCTTTTATTTCTAAATCCACTCAGCTCATCTCCAGTCATACTCCCAAAAAGTATGAAGTACAATTCTGCCATACATTTAACTAGTGTATAATCAACAAATTTTTTTTTTAACATGATGGTTGTCTCCAACTGAGGTAGGATGACCCCTAAAAAAAAGAAACACTTTTGCCATCATTCACACTATCAATGTCTTTGTAGAGGTGCCCAGATATGACAGTTTAGATGTCACTCTTAAACAGCAAATATCCTAAACCCCTCCTTTAACCCTTTGAGGGTCGACAGGCCCTCTCCGAGACTCGTTCTCAGGGTCGGCCAAATTTAAAAAAAAAAAAAAACACATTTCTTATGAAAAGATAGAGAATCTTTTCCCAATCATAATGACACCAAAAGTATAAAATTTGATGGAAAACTTATGGAATTATGCTCTCGGAAAGTTAGTGGTCTCGGTGATGTTTACGCGTTGGCGATTTTTGCCCACTTTGAGCCCCATTTTCAGCCAATTCCACTGTACTAGTCGATAAAAAACATGAATATTTCGCTAGAACTCCATTTTTTCTATCAAATGAATGTAAAAAACCACCCATTTACTAATTTCAACTATCCAGTACAGTGGTAAGAATTTAGCAATTTTGCCAATTTCACACAAATTTCAAAAGATGCCGATTTCCGAATAGGGTCCAGAATAAACAAGAAAGACATTACTGGCACTAAAATGACATTTCCTCTGTTCATTAGTCATGTCTCAATTCCCCTCTTACATTCTTTTGCTTTCTACTTGGAATTTTTATTCTCACAAAAAATAGAAGATTTACTGTTATGCAGACTACTGCATTAGTGTAAAAAATGGCATAAATAATATCGGTGCACTTGCGAAAGAATATCAGACTCATCAGTTGACGTGTATTGGACGCTTGGCATGATTTGTTTACTTTTGAACTTTGGTAAAAATCAAACATTTCTGCTACTTAGAGCTCAATTTCAAGGTACTTTTCATTGTAAAACCAGTCAAAATCATCTCAATTTCTGTAATATGTCTTCGATTCTATAAAATGAGACCAAGAAAACTAGAATACAACAATAAATACCATATGAAAATACAGTGCAAAGTCGCTGTTTTATTCCAAAAAAACGGTCAAAGTTTTTTTTTTCTCATTATGCACTGTGTGCTGCAGGATTTTTTTTATACTGTGCACACTGACCACATAGACCCATTCTTTCATATGTAGGCCTACCAGCTTTCTCCCACTAGATTTGAGGGCGTTACAATTTAGGCGTACTAGTACGTCAAAAACCCTGGGTCGTAAGCCGTACTAGTATGGCCGAAACCCTCAAAGGGTTAAAGTGCACTGTACTTCCCATCTCCAGGACTCAAGTCCGGCTAACCGGTTTCCCTGAATCTCTTCACAAAATATTACCCTGTTCAAGCTCCAAGAGCTCATCAAGTACAAAAAATCATTCATCTCCACTCACTACTATCTAACACACACTCACATGCCTGCTGTATGTCTGAGCCCCTTGTACACAAAGCCTCTTTTACCCTGTCCCTCCATCCTTTCCTAAGACAACCCCTACCCTATAATTCTTACACCCTCTCTCACCCCTCACCTCTCTCTTTATACAGTGCATCCACATGTACTCTATGACAACCCTTAAGTTTTTTAATTCTTTCATATACACAATCAGCAAATGCACCAATAATTTCAACATGTTTATGCAATGTACAGTTATATACTGTACATTCATTTATAATTAACAATAATTATTTAAAACTGCCTATTAGACTGTGCACACAAAATATTCATACATAAAATACTTCACAGACAAGTATATCTTACAACTTGAGAACTACAGTACTCTTGTCATGGTGAATCTAGCACTCTTGGTTTAGATCTCCACTTGCATGAAGCAATGAAAGGCAGAGGTAACTTACATTAGGTGTGGTGGGAGTCGCTACAGCATCAATCATCTCAGAAATGGCTCGAGGACGACTTGGCGACTCCTCGCCAGTGTTGATGGTCAGTGACTCAGGAATCTCCAAAACCTGACACAGTTATTACTGTCAGTATGGAAAACTAGAGAGGAATTTAATACAGGAATGTCTGTTCACCTGATATAAATATTTTGTTTGATGAAGATTGTTCCAATCTCAAGATATTCTAAATCATAAAAAAAGGGAATAAAAAATAAAAATCATAATAGTACTGTACTGTGGCAGAGATAATTCACAAACTGGAACTTGAAAATGGATGACTTTATGGTCTACCCTGGACTATTACAAAGCTGCAAGTGAGAGAGACAATGCAAGAAACCAAAAAAAACTAGTCACGTGAAAATTATTATTATTATTATTATTATTATTATTATTATTATTATTATTATTATTATTATTATTATTATATTCATGGAAAGAAAGAAATTCATTGGGCTCATACAATGGTTGGGGAAATAGAAGACAATCAGGTTCTCTCTGAAGAAGGTATGGTCACATCCAATTCCTTGGAACAAGAGCTCCTTACCGACACCAAGGAACTTTCCTTGAGGGGTGATCACAAGAAGGGAAAGCTAAAGTAGCTAAAGTAATCTAACCTTGTCTGGCATTAAACTTTCACACTGGTGCTTGAGTGTCTGCAGCTCAAACACATAGTTGAGCAGAATAGTGCGAAGGTCGTACATGAGCACCAGATCAGAGCGGAGTTCATTGAAGTGTTGGCACACTTCCTCTACTGCCATGGGATTGCTCTCTGTTAATAGAACAAAACAATGGCTTTCTGTTAACAGAACAAAATAATGGCTCTGTTAGCATAACAAAACAAGGGCTCTCTGTTAACAGAACAAAATAATGGCTCTCTGTTAACAGAACAAAATAATGGCTCTGTTAGCATAACAAAACAAGGGCTCTCTGTTAATAGAACAAAATAATGGCTCTGTTAGCATAACAAAACAAGGGCTCTCTGTTAACAGAACAAAATAATGGCTCTGTTAGCATAACAAAACAAGGGCTCTCTGTTAATAGAACAAAATAATGGCTCTGTTAGCATAACAAAACAAGGGCTCTCTGTTAACAGAACAAAATAATGGCTCTGTTAGCATAACAAAACAAGGGCTCTCTGTTAGCAGAACAAAACATTACAATATACATTGGCAAATACAAAGCTGTTCACAATATTTAATACAGTTATGGCAGCCAGCCTTTTTAAAATTAACTAAATTATATATTAGATGACAATTCCTTAATTTTAATTAAATCCTTCAATAGCTTTCAACGCATTTTCTATTTGCATATACCATATACAGTGTATAAGCATTTCTGCAAATGTAGCAAGATGACTATAAAAAACACAGTCTAAACTTATACTCCATAATCCAAAACACACTGATAAAAATATTAAAAATATTTCACGAGTTTAAACACTGCTGTATGAGTGACTATTGTCACAGAAGACAAGGATACAACACTACACAACCAGCTCACCTAAATTCAATTCTGTCAGAAGCTGTTCAATAGCTTTAACTTTCTTTTGTCCAACACTCGCAGGAAGTTTCATGCGCTGTGACCTTAAACTGACTCCTGAGGACTTCACATCAGGGAACTTAATGCCTGTACAACTATCCAGGCTTGGAGGCTGATAGGAAGAATAAAGAAACAATGAGCTCTTCGTAGAAGATAATTATATATATAATCAAAATCACATTATATATTTTTTAACACATCTGCCGTTTCTCACCGAGGCAGGGTGACCCAAAAAAGAAAGAACAAAAAAAATTTCATCATCATTCAACACTTTCACCGTCAATCATACATAATCACTGTCTTTGCAGACGAGCTCAGATACGACAGCTTAGACATCCCTCCAAACTGCCAATATCCCAAACCCCTCCTTTAAAGTGCAGGCATTGTACTTCCCATTTCCAGGACTCAAGTCCGGCTAACTGGTTTCCTTGAATCCCTTCACAAAATATTACCCTGCTCACACTCCAACAGTACATCAGGTCCCAAAAATCATTCGTCTCCATTCACTCCTATCTAACACGCTCACACACGCTTGCTGGAAGTCCAAGCCCCTCGCCCACAAAACCTTCTTTACCCCTTCCCCCCAGCCTTTTCAGGGCTGACCCCTACCCTGCCTTCCTTCCCCTACAGATTTATATGCTCTCCAAGTCATTTTACTTTGTTCCAAGCTTAGTATCATTATATGATAATTATAATGCAAGCAACAAAAACATCAAAGACATACAGTAAAAGACAATATACCAGGAATGATTAAATTGCTGTTGATATTGTTTACAAACATGAAATCACTTCTAAAACTAACTGATATACTTCAGACATAGACAAAGCATTTATTTCTGAATATGAAGAATCTTACCAGCGTATCCATCTTTGCAACTTTTGTCTGCTGAATCTTTTTCTTGGTTGTCTTGGGAATCTTCCGAGCATCAGCATCAGCACTGATCAGTTTCTGCAGATCCTGCGTCTTCTTCTCTCTCTCCTTTTTACGAGCTTCAATCTTACGAAGCTCACACACCAGCTGCTGCTCCTCTTCAATCTGCATTGCAAGATAAGATGCTATTACAAAGGGAGGATCAATTTTTCCAACTGAATAGAGGTACAATATATCTAACATAACAGTACTTTTTCATCTTCCAATGTTATATAACAGTAATCTTACATCTTCAGATATTATAATGTAATTTTTGTACCATCAAAAATTACATTATAATATTCTAAATAAAGCTGTAAAAAGTCCATAATTCTCTAATAAAACTAGATCCACGAACCAATGATCTTATAAATACCATTTACAGCAATTAAGAAACGACTGAGCTGCTAAGACAGTTAAAATGAACCCTAATTAGTCACTTTAATGAACTGTAGTTGTCCTTCCAAACTGACGAGGAAGGGAGAAGAGATTATGTTTCTGAAGGTCCTGTGAAAATAGAAAACAGGAATAAACCAAAATTAATTCTTTGAGTGTCCAGACCCCAGATCTGAAAAGTGTCCACAGTGTCCAAGAATTTTCAAAAAAAATTTTTGAGGTGATATGTTTACTATAGAACATGGCAAAAATTGAATATTTCTACTACTTTGAGCTTAATTTCAAGCTACTTCCAGTCTGGAAAGCAATCAAAATCATCTCTATTTCTATAACATATCTTCCATTCCATTAATTGATACCAAGAAACTGAGAATGCAGTCATAAAAACCATCCAAAAATACACCAAAAAGTTGCTATTTTAAACCAAAAACACAGTCGTAGTTTTTTCCTATTAGTACGCACTGCATGGGGCAGGATTTTTTTTATGTGGTGCACACTTACCATATTGACCCATCCTTTCATATCTAGGCCCAAATTTACTGCTCACTGCTTATCCGAGTGAGGTGAGCTCATCACATAGTTCTACGGTACGGACAGAGATGGCAAACCCATAGTACTACAGCACAGACAGTGAAGGAGTTAAGTGTGCAAAACAAATAGTGTCTCAGATTTGGGTTCATAAGCTTCAGAGACTATCTCTGTGAATATGTCATTCTAATCCAGCAGTTAACAGTGACATTCATGAAAATTAATGACTAAACAGAGAGATCCACACAAGAGTCGCTGAGCCAGTAAAATGCTTGATAACTGAATCTATTCTCTGACTGACCATCAGTAATTATGCTGAATAATCAAAACCTATAAATAAGAAAGCCCAAGAATTTGGAAAGAACTGTAATCTCATTTTGCTTGTCTAGCTTCTAGCAAGCACTGCCACATTCATTACGTATACTTTTTTTATAATTTGGAGAACTTAAAAACTTCATTCATTTGTTAACTAACATGATCAGGGGTTGAAAGCAGTTTTTTCCAGGACTGATATTAGAGATTCAATCTCACTGACAAAATACCTTGAAAAAACAGTACAGTAACCGTATCTACCTGTTTTGGTGTTCTGTCCCAGAGTTTGAGGAGCTGCTGTTTACGGCGTCGTTCATGGTCGCCATCATAATTGACGATCTTACCCTCTGGTCCAGATACATTATTAACCTGAAAGTGTAAATAACATTCAAACTCACACAGACCATAAAATTCCCAGTGTGTTCTGCAGAGACCTGGGAAGAGAGCCACACTAATAGATAAGTACATACAAGGAACATCCAATGCTAAATTCCCTTACCAAGTAAACAAAAAACATTCTCTAGCAAAGTTCACTTATCTTGAAAATGCTTGAGGGTAATTTCATGTTGATATAACAACCGATAATATACAATTATCTCTTGATTTTGACCAAATTAGTTAAATAAGAAAAGCTTAAACCTGAATGGAAGGTCACTGATACATATAAATAACCTGAATGGAAGGTCACTGATACACATAAATAACCTGAATAGAAGGTCACTGATACTTAAACAACCCACAAATTATGATGTTTTAGTCCAACTTGGACCATTAACTAGTCATGAAAGTTTTTCTTCTTAAATTTAGTAATTATATCCACGTATTTATTTATATTAATAATGCCTTATTATTCTATAGTCTCCAACATTAATTTATTAATGAACAGGTAAGATCCTTTTTGCACAGGTTCATGAAAATTAAAATGCTGCACAAAATTAAAATGCTGCACAAAATTAAAATGCTGCACAAAATTAAAATGCTGCACAAAAGATTGTTTTGGTGGACACAGCACAAGAAAATTACCTTTTTGAGTATGTTTGTAACATTGTAATATCGCTCTTTAAGATCCTCCATGGTACGAGAGGTGAGATGCGACGGCCAGCGGTCGTGGATGACGGGCCAACGTAAGTCGAATCGGTGACACAAATCAAAGAGCATATCTGTCTCTGTCCTTGTCCAGCCATCACATAGTAAGTGCTCACTGTACTCGGAATCTGAATATGTCAATAACTCGACTTTCTGAAGACCAAAAAGTATATGTATTTAGTTTCCTGTGGAAAATATGGACTTACGAACAGAACAACTATAGCATTTCTGTATAAAATAAATGAGACACAGCTGGATTATCTAAAACGCTGATAAAATAAAAAATATAAACCTAGCACCAGATCTAGCTAGACACATCATCTCATTATGTATTACGAGAGTTAACATATCAATCACAACCAACAACAGAGAGTGATCATCATGAGTACCACTGATCTGGCTGGCAACACGGTAACCTGGAAGGTACCAGACAACACAGATGATGATCCATCCCACAATCATCAGATCAACCTAACCTTAAGTCGGTTCCTGACCAGCCGGGCTGTGGCTCGTACGTTGGTTTGCGTGCAGCCAGCAGTAACAGCCTGGTTATCAGGCTCTGATCCACCAGGAGGCCTGGTCACAGACCGGGCCGCGGGGGTGTTGACCCCCGGAACTCTCTCCGGGTAAACTCCAGGTACTCCAGGTAATCATTTATTAACATTGTTGCTGAGTTTTGTTACTTAAAAATCATTAATCTAATAATTACATCCTCAGACAACTTAATCATGTTAAACTTGGCACTCAGTTAACCTCATTTATGGTCATACAGTTAAGTTATTGTATTAAATATCACATAATGTAAATATTATATTCTACCTGATAACATAATGTTGTAAACATGATATTCTGCCCGATAACATAATGTATTTGGCTAGAATTTAACTCGTCATTTTTCTTACCATTCCTGTAACACTTCATTTTTAATCTATACTTTCATCATTAGAGTTATTTTTACTTCATGTCTATATACCTTTAATGTCTTCACGTACATATTCAAATAATATTTTCATGTTCAGTTAATTGTGTCTAATATCTAGCTTGCCTGAAATGTGGGACTTTCTGCTTGTGCAGAATTTAACTTTTTAAAAACTATATAGAGTATGTAACTGGTGGAAATAAATTATTATTATTATAATTTAATATACAATGTCTAGAATTCTAATCTACAACAAATCAGTGGCTATATTTACAAATGCTGTAAATATGTCTGTGGCTATTTTCATGTTAACCATTTTTTGACTCATTGCTACACAAAAGATCCCCTTTTTTTTTTTTTTTTAACAAACCAGCCATCTCCCACCAAAGTAAGATGATCCAAAAAGAAGAAACAATTTTACCATCACTCCCTCCATCACTGCCTTGCCAGAGGCATGCCAATACTATAACTCAAATGTCCCTCTAAACAGTTCATAGGAAAACAAAAATTAACTAGATCATACCTTGTTAAACATAGCAAATGGATAATCCTTGCCCTGATCACACACACGCCGCCAGTGGTACAAGACAGCATTATCTTTACGAGCAGGGTTGGTAAATGGCATCCACTTCCATGGACGCACTCGTTTCATGCCAAGCTTGGCCTTGACACTCTTATAACCTTGACCTGAAAATATATATTATTATGTCTTAATAAAAACACTTCACTTAGATACTTACTATTTTCAACCCCATAACAAATTTAAAAAATAATTGTTTAAAAAGCAATGATCTTCCAGATCATTGAACATTTCCCTTATACTACATATAGAAGGAAAAAAGAATCTCCTCTTAATAGATGCTTGAAGCCTGAAAGAGAGCCAAAGGATAAAATTTACACCTGAAGAGTTAAGAAAAGTATATTTCACCTTTCAAGTACAAATTCGGAAAAGGTTATACAATTTTTTCTAGCAAAAGGCATGCAAACTTTAACCATCACAAGACATCTAGGATGCCACTTACCACTATCAGTTGGCAGCAAGGGAGGCAGATCTTTATTAGAGTCGGAGTAGAGTAATGCATATAGCTCCCTGTGCATGCCTTCAGGTCGCCGCATCACCTCTTTCTCTTTCTTCTTTTTAGGCACATCTTTACGCAGGCCTAGAATGACCTCCTTGCTCACCTCTGGAGTGGGTGATCGCTCAAGTTCCAAGATGTCTCGCACATCAGCCATCTCAGTCCTGTGTAGCTAACTGCATCCACATTATTACAGCAGTAGTAATATTATAAGTAATTAACATAATAGTTTAAATGTCTCACTCTGTCATCACTGTATGTTTAATACCAGGAACATACGTGTATCTGAAAGGCCACAGCAAAGGTCCCTGGTTATTAGCAAACCTTAAATGTGAAAACTTTGTCTGATATATTAGCAAAAAAAAAAAAAAACTCCAAAACCCTAATCAATTATGAAAAATTGTTAACTAAAATCACAAATCATAGAAGCATGGCTATAATAAACACTACTCAGTTGGTAGCGGCCTCAACTCTCACACTGATGAACTGGGGTTCAGGGTCAACAAAGACTATATAATGCCATATTGTCTATATTCCCACAAGTGGAGATCAGGAGTGGACTAAAATATATATAAAATCAGGAAAAAGGGAAATCAATAAAATTTGAGAGAAAAGAAAGGTAGGGCTTAATTCTCTAAATTCAGAATGTACAATGCCATGACCTCAGCATATTTCCTTAAACCTGCTGCCCCACCTAGCACTAAGTAGATGTTTGGATGTTAACCCTTAAACGGTCCAAACAGATCAACGTTCAAATTCGTAGCTACAAAAGTAGATCAACTTTTTTTACATATTTTCAAATATAACAAAAAAAAGATGTAGATAAAAGTTTTTTTTACACGTTTTCAAAGGTAAAACAAAAGAGAAGATCTACATTTTTTTACATACTTTCAGATGTTGAAAAAACGTATATATACGTTTAGACCATTTAAGGGTTAAGGGTTAAGTGACTGGTGTGAGTCGCATCCTGGAGTTGAGGATTAAAGAATTCTAATGCCAATAAGTCAGGATGTCTGACAACATCCTGACTTTATTGCGTTAAGATACGATAAGATTTCGTTCAGATTTTTAACCCCGGAGGGTTAGCCACCCAGGATAACCCAAGAAAGTCAGTGCGTCATCGAGGACTGTCTAACTTATTTCCATTGGGGTCCTTAATCTTGTCCCCCAGGATGTAACCCACACCAGTCCACTAACACCCAGGTACCTATTTGCTGCTAGGTGAACAGGACAACAGGTGTAAAGAAACGTGTCGAAATGTTTCCACCCGCCGGGAATCGAACCCGGGCCCTCCGTGTGTGTGAAGCGGGAGCTTTAGCCACCAGGCCACCGAGCCTGGTAGACAACGCTCTCACCTCACATACTGAGTGTCCGTTGTTCAATTCCCAGCTGAATGGAAACATTAGGTGTGTTTCCTTACACCTGCTGTCCCCATTCACTGAGCGGTAAGTAGGTACCTGGGTGTTAGTTGACTGGTGTGGGTGGCATCCTGGGGGACAAGATTGAAGGACCCAAGCATATATAAGGGGGATCACCGATAGACCCCTGACTGTTATCAAGACCCCTGACTGTCATCAAGACCCCTGACTGTCTTCAAAACCCCTGATTGTCATCAAAACCCGAGTGTCATCAAAACCCGACTGGTCATCAAGACCCCTGGTGGTCTTCAAGACCCCTGACTGGTCATCAAGACCCCTGATGGTCTTCAAGACCCCTGACTGGTCATCAAGACCCCTGATGGTCTTCAAGACCCCTGACTGGTCATCAAGACCTCTGATGGTCTTCAAGACCCCTGACTGGTCATCAAGACCCCTGATGGTCTTCAAGACCCCTGACTGGTCATCAAGACCCCTGGTGGTCTTCAACACCCCTGACTGGTCATCAAGACCCCTGGTGGTATTCAACACCCCTGACTGGTCATCAAGACCCCTGGTGGTATTCAACACCCCTGACTGGTCATCAAGACCCCTGGTCATCAAGACCCCTGGTGGTCTTCAAGATGGAGCTGGACAAACACAAAGTCAGTACCTGACCAGCTGAGCTGTGGCTCCTACGTTGGTTTATGTGCTGCTAGCACTAATAGTCTGACTGATTAGGTCCTGATCCACCACCAGGCCTGGTCATGGACCGAGCCGCGGGGGCGTTGACCCCCAAAATACCCTCCAGGTATACTCAAGGCAGCAATTACTTTATTAACTAATTAATATTCTTCTTCAAACATATATTAGAGTAGACAAATAGATTTTATATCAAAATTTACAATTTGGTGTTGGATAATAATAATAATAATAATAATAGTAATAATAATAATAATAATAGTAATAGTAATAATAATAATAATAATAATAATAATATTATTATTATTATTATTATTATTATTATTATTATTATTATTATTATTATTAATAATAATAATAATAATAATAATAATAATAATAATAATAATAATATCTTTATTTACTACATATAAAAGGTATACACATCATACCTGGAGTTTACCTGGAGAGAGTTTCGGGGGTCAACGCCCCCGCGGCCCGGTCTGTGACCAGGCCTCCTGGTGGATCAGCGCCTGATCAACCAGGTTGTTGCTGCTGGCTGCACGCAAACCAACGTACGAGCCACAGCCCGGCTGATCAGGAACTGCCTTTAGGTGCTTGTCCAGTGCCAGCTTGAAGACTGAGCTTTTCCTGCAAATTAAGTCAGTTTTGTCCCGGGATGTGACCCACACCAGTCCACTAACACCCAGGATGTGACCCACACCAGTCCACTAACACCCAGGATGTGACCCACACCAGTCCACTAACACCCAGGATGTGACCCACGCCAGTCCACTAACACCCAGGATGTGACCCACACCAGTCCACTAACACCAGGATGTGACCTACACCAGTCCACTAACACCCAGGATGTGACCCACACCAGTCCACTAACACCCAGGATGTGACCCACACAGTCCACTAACACCCAGGATGTGACCCACACCAGTCCACTAACACCCAGGATGTGACCCACACCAGTCCACTAACACCCAGGATGTGACCCACACCAGTCCACTAACACCCAGGATGTGACCCACACCAGTCCACTAACACCCAGGATGTGACCCACACCAGTCCACTAACACCCAGGATGTGACCTACACCAGTCCACTAACACCAGGATGTGACCCACACCAGTCCACTAACACCCAGGATGTGACCCACACCAGTCCACTAACACCCCGGATGTGACCCACACCAGTCCACTAACACCCAGGATGTGACCCACACCAGTCCACTAACACCAGGATGTGACCCACACCAGTCCACTAACACCCAGGATGTGACCCACACCAGTCCACTAACACCCAGGTTGTGACCCACACCAGTCCACTAACACCCAGGATGTGACCCACACCAGTCCACTAACACCCAGGATGTGACCCACACCAGTCCACTAACACCCAGGTTGTGACCCACACCAGTCCACTAACACCCAGGTTGTGACCCACACCAGTCCACTAACACCCAGGATGTGACCCACACCAGTCCACTAACACCCAGGTTGTGACCCACACCAGTCCACTAACACCCAGGATGTGACCCACACCAGTCCACTAACACCCAGGTACCTATTTTGCTGACGGTTGAACATAGACAACCAGTGTAAAGCAACACATCCAGTGTTTCTACCCTCGCTGGGAATCGAACCCGGACCCTCACCGTGTGAAGCGAGAGCTTAAGCCACGGGTCACAGTAAGGGACAATAATACGTAATACACAGCCTTACAAGCATTATATTACCTTCCAGCAGTAATATATAATAACCAGAACTTACCTGAGCAAGTTGTGTAGAAACAGTCTACTTGTCCACACTAAAGATTGTTATTATTGTGATTTACTCAACTCTTGAAATTTTCTCCCAAGAAGAACTATGTTTTTGTTTGTGTTAAGGGCCAGTAAAACTTGTGTTATTGAACCCGGCCTCGCCGGTCTGTGTTATTAAGTAAAGTAAAGTAAGCAAGCAAGTAAGTAAAGTAAGTAATTAAATAAGTAAGTAAAGTAAGTAAGTAAGTAAAGTAAGTAAGTAAGCAAGTAAGTAAGTAAGCAAGCAAGTAAGTAAGTAAGCAAGTAAGTAAAGTAAGTAAAGTAAGCAAGTAAAGTAAGTAAGGTAAAGTAAAGTAAGTAAAGTAAATAAGTAAGTAAGCAAGCAAGTAAGTAAGCAAGTAAGTAAGCAAGTAAGCAAGCAAGTAACTAAGTAAGTTAGTAAGTAAGTAAAGTAAGTAAGTAAGCAAGTAAGTAAGTAAGCAAGTAAGTAAAGTAAGTAAGTAAGTAAGTAAAGTAAGTAAGTAAGTAAAGTAAGTAAGCAAGTAAGTAAGTAAGCAAGTAAATAAGCAAGTAAGTAAGTAAAGTAATTAAGTAAGTAAGCAAGCAATTAAGCAAGTAAGTAAGTAAGCAAGTAAGCAAGTAAGTAAGTAAGCAAGTAAATAAGCAAGTAAGTAAGTAAAGTAATTAAGTAAGTAAGCAAGCAATTAAGCAAGTAAGTAAGTAAGTAAGTAAGCAAGTAAGCAAGTAAGTAAGTAAGCAACCAAGCAAGTAAGTACAGTAAATAATTAAGTAAGTAAAGTTAGCAAGTAAGTAAAGTAAGTAATTAAGTAAGTAAAGTAAGCAAGTAAGTAAAGTAAATAATTAAGTAAGTAAGTTTATTTAGACACATGTACATGTAAGTACAACTATCATATACAATATAAATTATCAAGAATAAGCCTAAAACCAGGTCACACAAAGTGACTTATTTTCAGTATTATGGTGACCATAACAGTGGCAGTCCTCCCTCTCTGGAGTCCTCCATAATATATATTGTTCACATCTCAGCCACAAAGTTTCTCCCATAATGGAAACAGGAACAATAAATTCCCATTTAGGTCAGGTGGAGCTTCTGCCTAAACCCGGAAGAGTCACACAACTACACACACAGTAAGTCCAATGGAAATAAGTCACTTTGTCTGACATTTTGGGATTATTCTAGGTAATTACACATATTTTAAACTATATGTGATAATTGCACTTATGTGTAGCTGTACCTAAATAAACTTACTAGACACAAACAGATAATGGCTGCAGCAAACGCGAGACTGGAAAATTTAAGGATAATTTTTAAGAACTTCAATAAGGAAGTATTTTGACCCTTTACACTGTATATATAAGTAAGTTTATACAGGTATACACAAATACAGTTACATAGATTATCATGCATAGCAGTATATGTGTAGTGAACCTGTGATAACCCAAACAAATCAGACAGTGACTTATTTCCATTTGGGTCCTTTTACCTTATTATGACAATATAAAGGTGATAATATCTTATTATTATACTATAAAGGCGATATACTAGGAATAAGGTAAGATTACATGTGTGTTAGCTAGAAAAATAAAAATAATAATCCTCCTCTCATTCTGTCGCAGCTGCTGCTCCATCTTGGAGCAGCAGTGTCAGTAAGCAACCCACATCTCATAAAGCATTCAAATATGATGGAAAAATGTAAAGATTTGCTATGAAACTAGTCCCAGAGTCATGGAGTGAGCAGTGAGGAGAAATTAGAGGGATGATGACTTATAAAATATTGAAAGCAAATGGCAAGGTGGAGAGGGACACAATGTTCCACTAATGTGACACAGCAACAAGGGGGTCACAACTGGAAGTTGAAAACAGATGAGTCGCAGGGATGTTATGAAGTATTGCTTCAGTCATAGAGTAGTCAGGAAGTTGCACAATCTAGAGAGTGATGAGTACAACTAGCTGAGTACAATTAGTTGAGTACAACTAGCTGAGTAAAAATGCTGAAGACGAGTGACCCCCCAACTGAGTCAACAACAACAGTATTTCCTTTGACCATGAAGGAGCCGAATTATGGCGCCCTGACTAACTGACCAACAGTGGACAGTGTTAGGTGAGGACAAGTATCCCAGTGGTAGACACAGTGGACAGTGTTAGATGGGGACAAGTATCCCAGTGGTAGACACAGTGGACAGTGTTAGGTGAGGACAAGTATCCCAGTGGTAGACACAGTGGACAGTGTTAGGTGAGGACAAGTATCCCAGCGGTAGACACAGTGGACAGTGCTAGGTGAGGACAAGTATCCCAGTGGTAGACACAGTGGACAGTGTTAGGCGAGGACAAGTATCCCAGTGGAAGACACAGTGAACAGTGTTAGATGAGGACAAGTATCCCAGAGGAAGATACAGTGGACAGTGTTAGGTGAGGACAAGTATCCCAGTGGTAGACACAGTGGCAGTCTAGTAGACAAGTATCCAGTGTGACAGTGGACGTGTTAGTTAAGGACAAGTATCCCAGAGGAAGGCACAGTGGACAGTGTTAGGTGAGGACAAGTATCCCAGTGGTAGACACAGTGGACAGTGCTAGGTGAGGACAAGTATCCCAGTGGTAGACACAGTGGACAGTGTCAGGTGAGGACAAGTATCCCAGTGGTAGACACAGTGGACAGTGTTAGGTGAGGACAAGTATCTCAGAGGAAGACACAGTGGATAGTGTTAGGTGAGGACAAGTATCCCAGTGGTAGACACAGTGGACAGTGTTAGGTGAGGACAAGTATCTCAGAGGAAGACACAGTGGACAGTGTTAGGTGAGGACAAGTATCTCAGAGGAAGACACAGTGGACAGAGGAAGACACAGTGGACAGAGGAAGACACAGTGGACAGAGGGAGACACAGTGGACAGAGGAAGACACAGTGAACAGAGGAAGACACAGTGGACAGAGGAAGACACAGTGGACAGAGGAAGACACAGTGGACAGAGGAAGACACAGTGGACAGAGAAAGACACAGTGGACAGAGGAAGACACAGTGGACAGAGGGAGACACAGTGGACAGAGGGAGACACAGTGGACAGAGGAAGACACAGTGGACAGAGGAAGACACAGTGGACAGAGGGAGACACAGTGGACAGAGGAAGGACACAGTGGACAGAAGAGACACAGTGGACAGAGGGAGACACAGTGGACAGAGGAAGACACAGTGGACAGAGGGAAAACACAGTGGACAGAGGGAGACACAGTGGACAGAGGAAGCCACAGTGGACAGAGGGAGACACAGTGGACAGAGGGGGGGACACAGTGGACAGAGGAAGACACAGTGGACAGAGGGAGACACAGTGGACAGAGGGAGACACAGTGGACAGAGGGAGACACAGTGGACAGAGGGAGACACAGTGGACAGAGGAAGACACAGTGGACAGAGGGAGACACAGTGGACAGAGGGAGACACAGTGGACAGAGGAAGACACAGTGGACAGAGGGAGACACAGTGGACAGAGGGAGACACAGTGGACAGAGGAAGACACAGTGGACAGAGGAGACACAGTGGACAGAGGGAGACACAGTGGACAGAGGAGACACAGTGGACAGAGGAAGACCAGTGGACAGAGGGAGACACAGTGGACAGAGGGAGACACAGTGGACAGAGGAAGACACAGTGGACAGAGGGAGACACAGTGGACAGAGGGAGACACAGTGGACAGAGGGAGACACAGTGGACAGAGGGAGACACAGTGGACAGAGGGAGACACAGTGGACAGAGGAGACACAGTGGACAGAGGAAGACACAGTGGACAGAGGGAGACACAGTGGACAGAGGGAGACACAGTGGACAGAGGAAGACACAGTGGACAGAGGAAGGCACAGTGGACAGAGGAAGACACAGTGGACAGAGGAAGACACAGTGGACAGAGGAAGACACAGTGGACAGAGGGAGACACAGTGGACAGAGGGAGACAGTGGACAGAGGGAGACACAGTGGACAGAGGGAGACATCCTCACTCCATCAGTGCCAGAGTTTACCTGGAGAGAGTTCCGGGGGTCAACGCCCCTTCGGCCCGGTCTGTGACCAGGCCTCCTGGTGGATCAGAGCCTGATCAACCAGGCTGTTGCTGCTGGCTGCACGCAAACCAACGTACGAGCCACAGCCCGGCTGGTCAGGAACCGACTTTAGGTGCTTGTCCAGTGCCAGCTTGAAGACTGCCAGGGGTCTGTTGGTAATCCCCCTTATGTATGCTGGGAGGCAGTTGAACAGTCTCGGGCCCCTGACGCTTATTGTATGGTCTCTTAACGTGCTAGTGACACCCCTGCTTTTCATTGGGGGGATGTTGCATCGTCTGCCAAGTCTTTTGCTTTCGTAGTGAGTGATTTTCGCGTGCAAGTTCGGTACTAGTCCCTCTAGGATTTTCCAGTGTATATAATCATGTATCTCTCCCGCCTGCATTCCAGGGAATACAGTTTTAGGAACCTCAAGCGCTCCCAGTAATTGAGGTGTTTTATCTCCGTTATGCGCGCCGTGAGGTTCTCTGTACATTTTCTAAGGTCAGCAATTTCACCTGCTTGAAAGGTGCTGTTAGTGTGCAGCAATATTCCAGCCTAGATAGAACAAGTGACCTGAAGAGTGTCATCATGGGCTTGGCATCCCTACTTTTAAAGGTTCTCATTATCCATCCTGTCATTTTTCTAGCAGATGCGATTGATACAATGTTATGGTCCTTGAAGGTGAGATCCTCCGACATGATCACTCCCAGGTCTTTGACGTTGGTGTTTCGCTCTATTTTGTGGCCAGAATTTGTTTTGTACTCTGATGAAGATTTAATTTCCTCGTGTTTACCATATCTGAGTAATTGAAATTTCTCATCGTTGAACTTCATATTGTTTTCTGCAGCCTACTATTACTACTACTACTACTACTACTACTACTACTACTACTACTACTACTACTAGTACCACTACTACTACTACTACTACTACTACTAATACCACTACTACTACTACTACTACTAGTACCATTACTACTACTACTACTACTAGTACCACTACTACTACTACTACTACTACTACTACTAGTACCACTATTACTACTACTACTACTACTACTACTACTAGTACCACTACTACTACTACTACTACTACTACTACTAGTACCACTACTACTACTACTACTACTACTAGTACCACCGCTACTACTACTACTACTACTAGTACCACTACTACTACTACTAGTACCACTACTACTACTACTACTACTAGTTTACCTGGAGTTTACCTGGAGAGAGTTTCGGGGGTCAACGCCCCCGCGGCCCGGTCTGTGACCAGGCCTCCTGGTGGATCAGCGCCTGATCAACCAGGCTGTTGCTGCTGGCTGCACGCAAACCAACGTACGAGCCACAGCCCGGCTGATCAGGAACTGCCTTTAGGTGCTTGTCCAGTGCCAGCTTGAAGACTGCCAGGGGTCTGTTGGTAATCCCCCTTATGTGTGCTGGGAGGCAGTTGAACAGTCTCGGTCCCCTGACACTTATTGTATGGTCTCTTAACGGCTAGTACTACACCCTGCTTTTCATTGGGGGGATGGTGCATCGTCTGCCAAGTCTTTTGCTTTCGTAGTGAGTGATTTTCGTGTGCAAGTTCGGTACTGTTCCCTCTAGGATTTTCCAGGTGTATATAATCATGTATCTCTCCCTCCTGCGTTCCAGGGAATACAGGTTTAGAAACTCAAGCGCTCCCAGTAATTGAGGTGTTTTATCTCCGTTATGCGCGCGTGAAAGTTCTCTGTACATTTTCTAGGTCGGCAATTTCACCTGCCTTGAAAGGTGCTGTTAGAGTGCAGCAATATTCCAGCCTAGATAGAACAAGTGACCTGAAGAGTGTCATCATGGGCTTGGCCTCCCTAGTTTTGAAGGTTCTCATTATCCATCCTGTCATTTTTCTAGCAGATGCGATTGATACAATGTTATGGTCCTTGAAGGTGAGATCCTCCGACATAATCACTCCCAGGTCTTTGACGTTGGTGTTTCGCCTCTATTTTGTGGCCAGAATTTGTTTTGTACTCTGATGAAGATTTAATTTCCTCAGTGTTACCATATCTGAGTAATTGAAATTTCTCATCGTTGAACTTCATATTGTTTTCTGCAGCCCACTGAAAGATTTGGTTGATGTCCGCCTGGAGCCTTGCAGTGTCTGCAATGGAAGACACTGTCATGCAGATTCGGGTGTCATCTGCAAAGGAAGACACGTGTGCTGTGGCTGACATCCTTGTCTATGTCGGATATGAGGATGAGGAACAAGATGGGAGCTAGTACTGTGCCTTGTGGAACAGTAGTACCACCACTACTACTACTACTACTACTACTACTACTACTACTACTACTACAACTACTAGTACCACACTACTACTACTACTACTACTACTACTACTAGTACCACCACTACTACTACTACTACTACTACTACTACTACTACTACTACTACTACTAGTACCACTACTACTACTACTAGTACCACTACTACTACTACTACTACTACTAGTACCACCACTACTACTACTACTACTAGTACCACCACTACTACTACTACTACTACTAGTACCACTACTACTACTACTACTACTACTACTACTACTACTACTACTACTACTAGTACTACTACTACTACTACTACTACTACTAGTACCACTACCACTACTACTACTACTACTACTACTACTAGTACCACTACTACTACTACTACTACTACTACTACTACTACTACTAGTACCACTACTACTACTACTACTACTACTACTACTACTAGTAGTAGTACCACTACTACTACTACTACTACTACTACTACTACTACTACTACTACTACTACTACTATTACTACTACTACTACTACTACTACTACTACTACTACAAGAGTTAAGGTGTACACAGAACACTTTACACACTTCTTGGACACTTCCTCAGGTGAGGTATCTAAGTGTATCAAAGTATGCGTGTAAGTGTATGAAAGTGAGCTTGTAAAGTGTGTAAAAGTTAGCTTGTAAAGTATATAAAAGTGAGCTTATAAAGTATATAAAAGTGAGCTTGTAAAGTATATAAAAGTGAGCTTATAAAGTATATAAAAGTGAGCTTATAAAGTATGTAAAAGTGAGCTTGTAAAGTGTATAAAAGTGAGCTTGTAAAGTATATAAAAGTGAGCTTGTAAAGTATATAAAAGTGAGCTTATAAAGTATATAAAAGTGAGCTTGTTAAAGTGTAATAAAAGTGAGCTTGTAAAGTATATAAAAGTGAGCTTATAAAGTATATAAAAGTGAGCTTGTAAAGTGCATAAAAGTGAGCTTATAAAGTATATAAAAGTGAGCTTATAAGTATATAAAAGTGAGCTTGTAAAGTGTATAAAAGTGAGCTTATAAAGTATATAAAAGTGAGCTTGTAAAGTGTATAAAAGTGAGCTTATAAAGTATATAAAAGTGAGCTTATAAAGTATATAAAAGTGAGCTTATAAAGTATATGAAAGTGAGCTTATAAAGTATATAAAAGTGAGCTTATAAAGTATATAAAAGTGAGCTTATAAAGTATATAAAAGTGAGCTTATAAAGTATATAAAAGTGAGCTTGTGAAGTATATAAAAGTGAGCTTATAAAGTATATAAAAGTGAGCTTGTGAAGTGTATAAAAGTGAGCTTATAAAGTATATAAAAGTGAGCTTATAAAGTATATAAAAGTGAGCTTGTGAAGTGTATAAAAGTGAGCTTATAAAGTGTATAAATGTGAGCTTATAAGTATATAAAAGTGAGCTTGTAAAGTGTATAAAAGTGAGCTTATAAAGTATATAAAAGTGAGCTTGTAAAGTGTATAAAAGTGAGCTTATAAAGTATATAAAAGTGAGCTTGTGAAGTATATAAAAGTGAGCTTATAAAGTATATAAAAGTGAGCTTGTGAAGTATATAAAAGTGAGCTTATAAAGTATATAAAAGTGAGAAGATAAGTATATAAAGTGTGATGGATGATAAGACTGGTGGTGGTGGTGTCGTCTGCAGGTGGTGGTGTCTTAGTGGTGGTGTTGGTGGTGTCTCAGTGGTGGTGTACCTTTTGTGGTGGTGGTCTATGTCCCTCTCTCTCTCTCTCTCTCTTCTCTCTCTCTCTCTTAATCCCTCTTCTCTATCTTCCTCTTCCTCTTCTCCACTATTTATGGTGTTGTGGTGACCATCTGCCAGCTGGTGACTGACAAATAATCAAGGACAATGACCAACGTCGCCTCTAAACTGATCAAGGACACTTCTAGGATTCTCAATGTCAGTGAAGCTACAATAACTAGAGGAGGAATGTCACTAGTTGTGGCTGTTTATGTCTATAAAATTATATATCCTAAGATCAGGGAGCTGGTGAGGAGTCCAGCTGGTGAGGCAGCCAAAAATAAGGTCACTTACAAAGGTCAAAAAGGCCCGGCCGTGAATCGTGAATTTTTGGTCCAGTTGAAGAAGTTGTTAAAGGTTATAATCCCAGGGATGTGGTCAAGGTCAGCCTTGATCCTGCTCTTACACACTATTACACTTATCACTCGTACTTTCCTCTCCATATATGTGGCCCAGCTGGAGGGACGTGTGGTCAAGTACATTGTACGTAAGGACGTGGTCAGGTTCGCCTTAATGATGACTAAATGGATCGCCATAGCTGTGCCAGCAACTCTAGTTAACTCTCTAATCCGCTTCCTGGAGTGCCACTTGGCACTCACCTTCCGTAGTCGTCTCACACGTTACTCATATGACTTATATTTCAAGAATCAGTGTTATTACCGTGTGTCAAACCTGGATGGCAGACTGGAGAACTCTGATCACTGTCTGACAGAGGACATAGCAGCCTTCACATCTAGTGTAGCTCATCTTTATTCTCATATTACTAAACCACTACTTGACTCACTGCTAATTACTGTCTCTCTGGCCTCCCTGGCCAGGTCACGTGGTGGTGCCAGCTTGCCTGGTGAGCAGAAACTTGATTTTGTATAATTATACAATTGTTCACGTGTATTACTACTCTAAGTTATTGATAAGTTGTCTTTAATAAGATGTTAAAAGGACCCTAATGGAAATTATTCACTCTAACTTTTTTGGGTTATCCCAAGTAATTGACACATGTTAATCCATAAACGGTCCAAACGTATATATACGTTTTTTCAACATTTGAAAGTATGTAAAAAAAGTAGATCTTATTTTTGTTTTGTTTTTACATTTGAAAATGTGTAAAAAAAACTTTGATCTACTTTTTTTTGTTACATTTGAAAATATGTAAAAAAAACGTAGATCCACTTTTGTAGCACTACACATGTGAACGTAGATCTGCTTGGACCATTTACGGGTTAAACTCTATGTGATAATTGTATTTGTGTGTGTACCTGTACCTAAATAAACTCATTTATGCCAAAGATTGACAAGTATAAATTTATTTCGTGTTTTCTTTTATGATATGAACTTAACGTGTCTGTGGCCCATCCTCAGAGAATATAAAATCCACTAAATATATTTATCTCTTACATTTGCAGAGCTCAATATTGCTTTTATTGCCATCCATTTTCCATCTTCATGAGCCTTCCTATATTTAACAACCATCCTCTTTACACAGAGCCATGAGGTCTGACTTTTTTGAGTTATCCTAGGTAATTTACACATGTTACTGTGTATGATAATCTGTATAACTGCATTTATGTGTACCTGTACCTAAATAAACTTACATTAATGCTAATGTAATCCTTTCAGTCACCATATACATATTATTTTATATTTAAGGTGAGCTCTAGGTCTCCCAGCATTATCTTCCAGTAAATTACCTTGCTGTGCAGTGTTAATCCATTGGAATACTTATAGTTGAAGTGAAAATATATCAAGAAATGTTAGAATCTATATACAGTGGACCCCCGCTTAACGATCACCTCCCAATGCGACCAATTATGTAAGTGTATTTATGTAAGTACGTTTGTACGTGTATGTTTGGGGGTTTGAAATGGACTAATCTACTTCAAAATATTCCTTATGGGAACAAATTCGGTCAGTACTGGCACCTGAACATACTTCTGGAATGAAAAAATATCGTTAACCGGGGGTCCACTGTACATATAATATGTTTTTTTTGTAATTTTTAGAATTCTTTATTCCACTTAAGGCTATCAAAGTTTCCCCAAACATTACATAATACAGTATGTCCAGTAGACCAGTGGCCGATGGCTTGGTGGCTAAAGCTCCCGCCTCACACACGGAGGATCCAGGTTCAATTCCTGACAGGTGGAAACATTTCGACACGTTTCCTTACACCTGTTGTCCTGTTCACCTAGCAGCAAATAGGTACCTGGGCGTTAGTCGACTAGTGTGGGTCGCATCCTGGGGAACAAAATTGAGGACCCCAATGGAAATAAGTTAGACAGTCCTCGGTGACGCACTGACTTTCTTGGGTTATCCTGGGTGGCTAACCCTCCCTGATTAAAAATCCGAACAAAATCTTACCTTATCTCTTTTCTTAACGTTGTTTAACACGTAGTTACGTTCCTGAAAATGCAGTGTTAGACAAAACCGTGTTAGACAAACTGAAGAACTTATGGGAAAAATAAAGTTACGTTCCTGGGAGCCCCCAAAAAGCCAAACAACTTTTTTTTTAGACCTCCAGATCTTACAGAATAAAAGTGAATATGTAATTGTTGTGCATTGTCGTGATATAGTACTGCTTAAAATTACAAATGCAATAGAAATAATAGTATTTCTTACCTTAAATTGCAGTTAATGGTGTTTGTGGATGATTGTGAAGAGAGTGGATATGGATGGTGTGGTCCTACTGGGCTGAGGTGGATGGTTGTTGGTTGTCGGCAGAAGTGTATGGTATAGGTTTTGGTACTGAAGTCGATGGTTGTATTGGAGTATGCATAAATTCTGTAATGGATCTCTGGGCTCTTTAACCCTGCAGTACATTATACAGCTGACGGTAAGGCATCATCAGCTAGTCTAGACCCAGTTTCAAAGCACTGCTTCTAGATTTGTCAGGGTCGTCTTTAGTGAAAACGTCTGCTAGTTTAGCATCAACACGGAACTGCTTACGTAACTGCTTCTGTTATCTCCCTTCCTTGTATCTGTGCATCGAGCTCTGCCAACATTTCCTCTGGACTCCTGTCTTCATCATCATCATCATCTAAGAGCTCATTCACATCATCTTCATTCATATCTTCAAAACCATCACCTGGTAATCTCCTTGCCAGCTGAACAATTTCCTGAACCTGACTCTCAAGCAAGGGAAAACAAGTGAAAGAATTAACTACAGAAGGCCATAACTTTCCCCAGCCTGCATTTAATGTTCTTTGGGACACTTCATTCCATGCACTTCTAGCATAGCTGATGGCATCTGCAATGTTAAATTTATTCCAGAAGCTTGGTACTGCCAGGTTGGAGTCAGAGTCCACTGATGTAACTATTTTTTTCGTAACTTTTTTTTGTGTAGTTACACTTGAATGACTTAATAACTCCCCGATCCAGTGGTTGTATTAGAGATGTTGTATTTGGAGGTAAAAATGCAACTTTTACATGTGGGGTCACATCCAGCAAAGCTTGTGGATGAGTACGGGAATTATCAAGAATGAAGAGAGCCTTGAATGCAAAGTTCTTGCTGTGCAGGTAAAACATGACTTCAGGAATAAAGTGATGCTTAAACCAGTCAATAAATATTTCCTCTGCCATCCATGCTGACTGGTTTGACCTCCAAATTACTGGTAAGGTGTTTTTATCTAAACCTTTCAAAGCACGAGGATTCTTCGAGTAGTAAATAACCATGGGCTTACACTTGAAATCACCTGCCGCATTACCGCAAAGGAGCAAGGTGAAGCGATCCTTTGCTGTCTTGAAGCCCAGTGCACTTTTCTCTTGCTGACTGATAAAAGTTCATGTAGGCATTTTTTTCCAAAAAACTCTTGTCTCGCCAACATTAAACACGATGATGAGGGTGGTGTGGGTGGCATAGGGAGGTGGGAGATGGTGATAGGTCTCCCCCGTTGACACATTGGTCTAACCCACAGACCATCTCGCCCGGTGGGCAACCACACGCTCAAAAATTTTTCCCCTCACGCAACTGTGTTAACCTAATTTTATAATGTGTTAAGCAAAAATATGCTGCAATTCTTCAGTCATGCTATAACAAAAACATGCAAGACAAAATAGTGTTAAACGACGGTCTACTGTATGTCATATTTGCAGTCGTATACAATGCATTTAACGTTTTTCATATTTCCGCTTGTATGCTCTCTCACCTTAATTAGCATCACCTATTACATAATTTAATGAGCTTTCCTTTTCTTTTTTAATGATTTTCATAATAAAACTTCACCTTTTTTATTCCGTATTTAATTATATTATACAATTATGCTGCTCACTTTCTAGCAAGATCAGTGAAAAAACATTTCAAGCTTTTTAATATTTTCCATGCTATATAGGGACAGTACCTTATATTGCAGTTGCACTTTTATCCCACAACCAAAAATACCCATGTCAAATCTTTGGTGAGGCAAGACTTATGCCTGACACCCGCTGTTATGCAGTGAGGAGGCTGCAGTGTTGAAATATGTAAAAAGCACTTTTTAGATTAGGTTCTGGGCTACTATTGTAAAATGAAAATTGCTGTAAAGTGAAACATAGCCGTTTTTCACTTTCAAATGTATATAAAAGCTTAATAACATGTTTACACTATCATATATTGAATGAGCAATGGAACTAGGCTTAAAAAATGCATGTACAGTACACACATTACTTACCTTAAAATATTTTTGTCCTTAGTTTATAGTGAGTGGTGAATATATATACACCTACCATCCGACTTACGACCGAGTTCGGTTCCGAGAAACCGGTCGTAAGTCGAAATGGTCGTAAGTCAAACTTTGCTACTGAATATCAAAAAAACATTTTTGTAATGACTTTATTTTATTGTTTTATTTTGGTATTTCATGTTTTACTTTACTTTTTGTTGTTAGTACTGTATTTTATACTGTAAGGTTTAGGATAAACACTGTGTACAACACAAATAGTTGTTTATTTCCCAGAAATTTGGCATAAAAAACACGGTCATAAGTCGAGTGGTCGTAAGTCGAGCAGGTTGTAAGTCGGATGGTAGGTGTACATGTATATATATTGCAAGAAGTCTGAATAAATGAAGAATGGTTATAATTGGAAACCTCTGCATTAGCGAAACGCCATAAGGTGAAGCACTGTCAAGCGGGGCCCACCTATACTTATAAGATCTTGAAAGTATTCTATAAAATGCACAAAATTTTTCATGGTACTAAAATTAGCATCAATCTGGTTGATCAGACTGGTAATAGGAAAGTCTGGTTGATCAGACTGGTAATAGGAAAGTCTGGTTGATCAGACTGGTAGTAGGGAAGTCTGGTTGATCAGACTGGTAATAGGAAAGTCTGGTTGATCAGACTGGTAGTAGAGAAGTCTGGTTGATCAGACTGGTAGTAGGGAAGTTGGTTGATCAGACTGGTAGTAGGGAAGTCTGGTTGATCAGACTGGTAATAGGAAAGTCTGGTTGATCAGACTGGTAGTGGGGAAGTCTGGTTGATCAGACTGGTAGTAGGGAAGTCTGGTTGATCAGACTGGTAGTAGGGAAGTCTGGTTGATCAGACTGGTAGTAGGGAAGTCTGGTTGATCAGACTGGTAGTAGGGAAGTCTGGTTGATCAGACTGGTAGTAGGGAAGTCTGGTTGATCAGACTGGTAGTAGGGAAGTCTGGTTGATCAGACTGGTAGTAGGGAAGTCTGGTTGATCAGACTGGTAGTAGGGAAGTCTGGTTGATCAGACTGGTAGTAGGGAAGTCTGGTTGATCAGACTGGTAGTAGGGAAGTCTGGTTGATCAGACTGGTAGTAGGGAAGTCTGGTTGATCAGACTGGTAGTAGGGAAATCTGGTTGATCAGACTGGTAGTAGGGAAGTCTGGTTGATCAGACTGGTAGTAGGGAAGTCTGGTTGATCAGACTGGTAGTAGGGAAGTCTGGTTGATCAGACTGGTAGTAGGGAAGTCTGGTTGATCAGACTGGTAGTAGGAAGTCTAGTTGATCAGACTGGTAGTAGGGAAGTCTGGTTGATCAGACTGGTAATAGGAAAGTCTGGTTGATCAGACTGGTAGTAGGGAAGTCTAGTTTAAGGTTGGGCAGTGAGAGTGGAATAACTTTCAAAACTGCTCACAGGTATATATATATACGAAGAACAGTAGAGATCAGAATAAATGTGTTCATTAAGGAAGTACAGTATGGTTTAACTATTAGAAATTTGCAAGACTGATAATACAAAATAATCATAATGGACAAAAAAAAAATGAGCAGAAACTCTGCTTCTATGGCCATGGACCAGGCTTATCTGGTGCTAACCTGGTCAACCAGGCTGTTGCTGCTGGAAGCCTGCTGTCCCACATATCCATTACAGCCTGAAATATGTATAAGTAAATATATATGTGTACTGTACTATAAACAGATGAGTGCACAAACACTCACATGCACACACACACAGTTGTCAGGAAGTGGAACAATCTGGAGAGTCATATAGTGAATGGAGGATCCATACATAGCTTTAAGAAGAGATAGGAAAAGGCTCTAGAAGCAAGGAGAGACTGGACCTAGTAGTGACCAGTGAAGAGGCAGGGCCAGGAGCTGGTACTCGACCCCTACAGCCATATATAAGTGAGTACATATACACACACAGTGGACCCTGACCTTGACCACACCACGCCATTGATAACATGCCACCTATCAAACCACTTATTACTGTATATGAGTTGTACTACTACTACTGCTGTTCTTTTTGTACTGCTACTTACTACTACTTATAATTTCTACTTACTACTGCTTACTAACTTTTAACTGTTAGCTGGTAACTATTAACTATTACTAGTACGTACTAATGACTTACTGGTGCTGCTTCAAGCAGCAGTTTTAATTTATTTTCTTAGGACTCAGCCTAAAGAGTTTGCTACCTAATTGTGTACTACTGCTAGACATTCACAACAGTTGATAAACACCCAGGTACCTTTTTACTGCTAGGTGACTATGGCCAACCAGCAGGTATAAGAAGACTTGGCCATTTTTGCTCGATAAATTCAAGATTGGATTACTAATTTGTTTTCCAACCCCTTAAAATATTAACATTTGCAAAATTTAGACGATTATAAATGTGCAGACATCGACGAATGCAATTATTACATTTTTTTTTATTTTTAACACTGGCCGCCTCAGATTGAGATACGGTAACCCAAAACAGAAGAAGCACTTTTACCATCACTGTCTTGCCAGAGGTGTGCTGACACCACAGCTCAGATACCACTCTAAACTACAATATCCCCAACCGTCCTTCAGAGTGCAGGCACTGTACTTCCCACCTCAAGGACTAAATTACTATTTATTCAAACACACTCGCCGTTTCCCACCAAGGCAGGATGACTCAAAAAAGAAACACTTTCACCATCATTTACACTATCACTGTCTTTGCAGAGGCGTACAGATTTAACAGTTTACATGTCACACTAAACAGCAATTATCCCAAATTCTCTCTTTTAAAGTGCAGGCATTGTTCTTCCCACCTCCAGGACTCAAGTCTGGCTAACTGGCTTCCCTGAATCCCTTCACAAAATATTAGCCTGCTCACACTCCAACAGCTCATCAAGTTCCAAAAACTATTTGTATCGACTCCTATTTAACACGCTTACACATACTTGCTATATGTCCAAGCCCCTTACTCACAAAACCTTTTAACCCCCTCCCTCCATCCTTTCCTAGAACAACCCCTGTCCCTCCTTTCCTTCACTACAGATTTTTACACCTTCCAAGTCATCCTATTTTTCTCCAGTCTCTCCAAATGACCAAAACCACTTAAACAACCCCTTCTCAGTCCTCTGAATAATACTTTTAGTAACTCCACACCACCTAATTTCCAGACTATGAATTCTCTGCATAATAATTATGCCACACATTGCTCTCAGACACGACATCTCCACTGCCTCTAGCCTCCGAAAATATATTGAATCCAGTACCTGTTCTTAATTTTTAATATGAATTCATATTTTATACAATACCGTATTTTCATTTATGAAAATTAATACAGTACTCCCTGGAATGTGCGTTAGAAAGATACACGATAATATAAACTTGGAAAATCCTAGAAGGACTAGTTTCAAATCTGCACACACAAATCACTCCCTGTGAAAGCAAAACACTTGGCAGGCGGTGCAACATATCCCCGATGAGAAACGGGCACTGTGAGTACGTTAAGAGAGAGCACAATAAGTGTCAGGGGGCCCAAGACTTGTTCAGCTGCCTCCCAGCATACATAAGGGGGATTACCAATCGACCCCTGGCTGTCTTCAAGAGGGAGCTGGACAGACACCTAAACTCCGTACCTGACCAGCCGGCTGTGGTTCCTGTGCTAGTTTACGTGTGGTCAGCAGTAACAGCCTGCATGATCAGGTTCTGATACACTGCGAGGCCTGGTCACAGACTGGGCTGTGGGGGTGTTGACCCCTACAGGCATACTCCAGGTATACCATAATACCAATACTATTTATGATTGTTTTACGTGAACTGAATGTTATATTTTCAGGTCCAGTGTTAGGTGGCCTGGTTGTGGCTATCACTGGCCGCATTTTGCGAAAGGTTTCCCCAAAATTTGGGGCTCTGGTGTCAGAGGAAGCACATCGGAAAGGTTACCTGCGAGCCATTCACTCTCGGATTATTACCAATGCTGAGGAAATTGCCTTCTATGGTGGACATAAGGTAACCCTGGTGCTGCTCTGTTTAACTTTTCGTATAAGCATTACCATCTTGGGAACAGTATATGTATTCTCACAAGTTAATCGGACATTTATTGTGCAATGTCAGTTAAACATCTTTCATGTAATGTCAGTTGGATATATGTACTGTAACATTACTACAGTAAAGTATTATACCATATACAGAATTAGTCCAGCAGGATAATTATAACTTTACTATGTTAACATTTATGCATTATTATGCAATATTATATATATATATATTATATATATATATATATATATATATATATATATATTATATTATATATATATATATATATATATATATATATATATATTAAAATTATATATATATATATATATATATATAATATATTATATATATATATATATATATATATATATATATATATTATATATATATATATATATTAAATCTGGAGTATCTGAGAGAGTTAGAGCAAAGGAAGGGGTAGCAGTAATGTTAAATGATCAGTTATGGAAGGAGAAAAGAGAATATGAATGTGTAAATTCAAGAATTATGTGGATTAAAGTAAAGGTTGGATGCGAGAAGTGGGTCATAATAAGCGTGTATGCACCTGGAGAAGAGAGGAATGCAGAGGAGAGAGAGAGATTTTGGGAGATGTTAAGTGAATGTATAGGAGCCTTTGAACCAAGTGAGAGAGTAATTGTGGTAGGGGACTTGAATGCTAAAGTAGGAGAAACTTTTAGAGAGGGTGTGGTAGGTAAGTTTGGGGTGCCAGGTGTAAATGATAATGGGAGCCCTTTGATTGAACTTTGTATAGAAAGGGGTTTAGTTATAGGTAATACATATTTTAAGAAAAAGAGGATAAATAAGTATACACGATATGATGTAGGGCGAAATGACAGTAGTTTGTTGGATTATGTATTGGTAGATAAAAGACTGTTGAGTAGACTTCGGTTGTACATGTTTATAGAGGGGCCACAGATATATCAGATCACTTTCTAGTTGTAGCTACACTGAGAGTAAAAGGTAGATGGGATACAAGGAGAATAGAAGCATCAGGGAAGAGAGAGGTGAAGGTTTATAAACTAAAAGAGGAGGCGTTAGGGTAAGATATAAACAGCTATTGGAGGATAGATGGGCTAATGAGAGCATAGGCAATGGGGTCGAAGAGGTATGGGGTAGGTTTTAAAAATGTAGTGTTTAGAGTGTTCAGCAGAAATTTGTGGTTACAGGAAAGTGGGTGCAGGAGGGAAGAGGAGCGATTGGTGGAATGATGATGTAAAGAGAGTGTAAGGGAGAAAAAGTTAGCATATGAGAAGTTTTTACAAAGTAGAAGTGATGCAAAGGGGGGAAGAGTATATGGAGAAAAAGAGAGAGGTTAAGAGAGTGGTGAAGCAATGTAAAAAGAGAGCAAAAGAGAGAGTGGGGAGATGTTATCAACAAATTTTGTTGAAATAAGAAAAAGTTTGGAGTGAGATTAACAAGTTAAGAAAGCCTAGAGAACAAATGGATTTGTCAGTTAAAAATAGGAGAGGAGAGTTATTAAATGGAGAGTTAGAGGTATTGGGAAGATGGAAGGAATATTTTGAGGAATTGTTAAATGTTGATGAAGATAGGGAAGCTGTGATTTCGTGTATAGGGCAAGGAGGAATAACATCTTGTAGGAGTGAGGAAGAGCCAGTTGTGAGTGTGGGGGAAGTTCGTGAGGCAGTAGGTAAAATGAAAGGGGGTAAGGCAGCCGGGATTGATGGGATAAAGATAGAAATGTTAAAAGCAGGTGGGATATAGTTTTGGAGTGGTTGGTGCAATTGTTTAATAAATGTATGGAAGAGGGTAAGGTACCTAGGGATTGGCAGAGAGCATGCATAGTTCCTTTGTATAAAGGCAAAGGGGATAAAAGAGAGTGCAAAAATTATAGGGGGATAAGTCTGTTGAGTGTACCTGGTAAAGTGTATGGTAGAGTTATAATTGAAAGAATTAAGAGTAAGACGGAGAATAGGATAGCAGATGAACAAGGAGGCTTTAGGAAAGGTAGGGGGTGTGTGGACCAGGTGTTTACAGTGAAACATATAAGTGAACAGTATTTAGATAAGGCTAAAGAGGTCTTTGTGGCATTTATGGATTTGGAAAAGGCGTATGACAGGGTGGATAGGGGGGCAATGTGGCAGATGTTGCAAGTGTATGGTGTAGGAGGTAGGTTACTGAAAGCAGTGAAGAGTTTTTACGAGGATAGTGAGGCTCAAGTTAGAGTATGTAGGAAAGAGGGAAATTTTTTCCCAGTAAAAGTAGGCCTTAGACAAGGATGTGTGATGTCACCGTGGTTGTTTAATATATTTATAGATGGGGTTGTAAGAGAAGTAAATGCGAGGGTCTTGGCAAGAGGCGTGGAGTTAAAAGATAAAGAATCACACACAAAGTGGGAGTTGTCACAGCTGCTCTTTGCTGATGACACTGTGCTCTTGGGAGATTCTGAAGAGAAGTTGCAGAGATTGGTGGATGAATTTGGTAGGGTGTGCAAAAGAAGAAAATTAAAGGTGAATACAGGAAAGAGTAAGGTTATGAGGATAACAAAAAGATTAGGTGATGAAAGATTGAATATCAGATTGAAGGGAGAGAGTATGGAGGAGGTGAACGTATTCAGATATTTGGGAGTGGACGTGTCAGCGGATGGGTCTATGAAAGATGAGGTGAATCATAGAATTGATGAGGGAAAAAGAGTGAGTGGTGCACTTAGGAGTCTGTGGAGACAAAGAACTTTGTCCTTGGAGGCAAAGAGGGGAATGTATGAGAGTATAGTTTTACCAACGCTCTTATATGGGTGTGAAGCGTGGGTGATGAATGTTGCAGCGAGGAGAAGGCTGGAGGCAGTGGAGATGTCATGTCTGAGGGCAATGTGTGGTGTGAATATAATGCAGAGAATTCGTAGTTTGGAAGTTAGGAGGAGGTGCGGGATTACCAAAACTGTTGTCCAGAGGGCTGAGGAAGGGTTGTTGAGGTGGTTCGGACATGTAGAGAGAATGGAGCGAAACAGAATGACTTCAAGAGTGTATCAGTCTGTAGTGGAAGGAAGGCGGGGTAGGGGTCGGCCTAGGAAGGGTTGGAGGGAGGGGGTAAAGGAGGTTTTGTGTGCGAGGGGCTTGGACTTCCAGCAGGCATGCTTGAGCGTGTTTGATAGGAGTGAATGGAGACAAATGGTTTTTAATACTTGACGTGCTGTTGGAGTGTGAGCAAAGTAACATTTATGAAGGGATTCAGGGAAACCGGCAGGCCGGACTTGAGTCCTGGAGATGGGAAGTACAGTGCCTGCACTCTGAAGGAGGGGTGTTAATGTTGCAGTTTAAAAACTGTAGTGTAAAGCACCCTTCTGGCAAGACAGTGATGGAGTGAATGATGGTGAAAGTTTTTCTTTTTCGGGCCACCCTGCCTTGGTGGGAATCGGCCGGTGTGATAATAATATAAAAAAATAAATATATATATACATACATACATATATATATACATATGTATATACATACGTATATACATATATATGTATATACTTCTAAACTGTTGTATTCTTGTATTTGAGCACCTCTGCAAAAACAGTGATTATGTGTGAGTGAGGTGAAAGTGTTGAATGATGATGAAAGTATTTCCTTTTTGGGGATTTTCTTTCTTTTTGTTTCACCCTGCCTCGGTGGGAGATGGCCGACTTGTTAAAAAAATAAAAAATACATACATACTATAATTTTTTGTTTGTATTGTTTTACTGACACGTCAGCCGTTTCCCACCAAGGCAGATTGACCCATAAAAGACGAAACACTTTTATCATCATTCACTCTATCACTGTCTTGCTAAAGGCATGTCTACACTACAGTCAAAAAAAAGCTGCAAAATATCAGCACCCCTCCTTCAGAGAGCAGGCACCATACTTCCTACCTCCAGGACTCAAGTCTGGCTAACTGGTTTCCCTGATTCCCTTCATAATGTTACTTTGCTCACACTCCAACAGCATATCATCATAAAAATCATCCATTTCCACTCCTATGTAACACACTCACGCATGCTTGCTGGAAGTCCAAGCCCCTTGCACACAAATCCTCCTTTACCCTCTCCCTCCAACCTTTCCTAGGCCAACCCCTACCCTGCCTTCCTTCCACTACAGATTTATATGCCCTCCCAATCATTCTCCTTTGTACCATCTTCTCTAAATGTCCGAACCACCTCAACAACCCCTCCTCTGCCCTCTGGGTAATACATTTAAAAGCCCCACACTTCCTTCTAATCTCCAAGTTATGGATTCTCTGCATTATATTCACACTGCGCATTGCCCTCAGACACGATATCACTGCCTCCAGCCTTCATCTTGTTCCAACTTTCACTACCCATGCTTCACGCCCATGTAAGAACACTGGTACCACTATACTCTCATACATTCCCTCTTTGCTTCCATGGATAATGTTCTTTGTCTCCACAGACTCGTCAGTGCTCCACTCATCTTTTTTACCTCAAGCATTCTATGATTCACCTCATCTTTCATAGACCCATATGTACAGCCTCTCCTCACTTAGCGACATACTCATTTACTGATGACTCGGACTTGCGATGGGCTGTCTGACCAGTGTGTATACCTAAATTATGTATATTAGAGCTGATTTCCTCTATTCTGTTTATTACAATATACGTACAGTACACTACTGTATAAACATTTAAAAATATACCAGGAATGTTATAAATGGTGCAAAGGTGATATTAAAACAATATAAAAATGGTTGACACAAACGCACTACCATTATAGTATGCTCCTCACTTAGCAACGAATGTGTGTAATGACGTGGTCTTAGGAACGGAACTCCGTCGTTAAGTGCAGAGAGGCTGTACATATACAGTTTATAGCGCCATGAGTGACATGCTTCTTCCTCATCACTACTGACACTCCTTTCTCTGCCTATTCCTGGTCTGCCATAGCTCTTCTCACATGATAATGATGCCGTATGGTGATTTTAATGTACTATTAGGGGGACAAAATACAAAAAAATAATAAAAAATCAGAAAAAAAGCCAAACATTCACTTCAGGTGCAGGGATATAAAAACTGTGGTGTCATCACAAGAAATGTTATAATAACTATAATTTGTTATAGAAATATCATATGAAGATGAGACTTACAGCTAAATATTGCCAGATTGTTGAAGGATTTTTCTGTAAACTAAATTAATTTTTCAAATTTTTTCAATTTTATTTTTTTGCTGGCCCATGCCCCATGGTTCATCTCTGGCTATATATCCAGCATAGTGCTAAGTGCACAGCAAACTCAAATTTTGCTTTTTGGAACTTTTCTGGATTTTTTTTTATATTTTTGATTGGTGGTTAATTGAATCCATGGATGTGAAGCCCACAGATACAGAGGGCCAACTGTATATCATTTCTATGCTGTATTTTTTAATTGCAAATTATTTCAGCATACTAATGGTCAATGGAAGCCAAAATTAGGACAGGTGTGATAATTAAGGTCATCATCTAGTCGAAGGCATTACAATAATTCCAGGTGGAGCGTACTATCCTACAGCAGGCATATGACTCACTGGTGCAGCAGATGGGGGTGATCTTCAACAAACGCTTGTGGTATATTATGCTGGAGCAGTTCCTCATGAAGTATGTTTGGTCAGGTGCTGGCATGGTCATGGTCTCCATACCACTCCTCACCTCAACCATAAATGAAAGTAAGTACATATAATACTCTTCCTTTCCATGCAGTGGAATCTTTGTTATTGGTATGTGTCCATGCCTGGCCATATGCATGTAGCTGAGACATCCTCTTCCTCACTCAGGACTCGAATGAAGTACAATTCACAGTAGACCATCAATTATCTAACGATCAATTATTTAGCTTCCAACATTATATGGCTATCTTGTTCAGTCTGACACCTGGACAGATAATGCGAGAAAGGAACATTCAGAACAAAGGAACCATAAAAATGCAATGCAGTCATCTGGTGGTGTTAAAAATCCAGTGCATCTTCACTCCCAGAGGGACAGGATAATTGGAGCTCTACTGTATATTTTTTTACTCGGGTATATTAATGTAATATATATAATATATAATAGCAGTGAATCTAGAGTGGTATGTTACCTCCTGTGGTAGTGAGGATGAAAATATCTGACTTGAAGAGGGTGGACAACTGTCAGCCTAATGACAATGTGCAGCCCAATGTAGGGTGAAGCAGTACACAGATTGAGGGAGTGACACTGTTATTATACTGCTTGGTAATTACTTTTGTTAAAACATTGAGCGATCTAAGATAATGTTTGAGCTTCTCAGTTGCATCTAGGTTGTGTGGAATAACAGCAAGTGTATATTTGTGATCTAATTAAGGTTGTAATCAGCTGTTGTCTCCACAAAGGACTTAATCTTCATCAACCAGTCAGCCATATTGCTGAAGGAAAACTTTGGAGTTGGCATATCTTCATGGGCATCACTACTGTATTACTGCCACTTGATTATGCAAGGATGAAGGATGTGGTGGGAAGAAACTAATGGCAGTTCCAAACATATACACACTCGCTCCGGCCCACTGATGCTGAGACTGTTCCCTGTCACTAAATATGTGGGCACTTAAGCTTCGCGGTTAGTAATTAAGCGACAGAAACAGTAGAGGTTGTACTGTAGCTACAAATATTGCAATACATAATCTGTTACTCCCAGTCACTCTGGTCCCTTGCAGTTCTACTTGATAGTCTACACTGCTGTCTTTCTTATTTGGAAATTTATTTCTGTACATATCGAGAATTATACCAAAATTTAGATAATTTTGGCATTTGGATTGGTCTCCAAAATTTGTAATTATTCTAATAAGAGATAACAATTTGTGAAAATTAGATTTTGGAATCTTCTCTGCAATTAAGAATTTTCAAAATGAAAGCAAAAGTTCAAACTTCGATTTGAATTTTCTTTTTTTTTTTTTTTTTTTTTTCAAACTGAGAAAGGTTTCTCAATTTCTGTTGCTATACTTTGGTGGGAAATGGCTGATGTTGTAAAAAAAAATATAATTTTCTAGAATTCAGGCATCCCTAACTATGTATTATACCAAATAAGAGAGATTACAGTTCTGTACTGTATTTTTTTTTTTTGTGTGTGTGTTCACTGTAGATTGCCTTAAGAACATAAGAAAGAAGGAGCACTGCAGCAGGCCTACTGGCCCATGCTAGGCAGGTCCAAATCACCTACTGGCCCTAGCTATTGGCTAAAGCAGTCAGGTCCAAGTCACATCACTTAAGAAGGATAGAGCACTGCATCAGACCCACTAATGCAAGCCAGTCAGGTCCAACTCATACCCACCCACACCCACTCTTGTATTTTTCAAACTACAAAATGTTTTAGCTTGGCAGTCTGTTTTTTAGTGTTGCACCTTTACCAACCCACTGCATGGGTTCCTCACTCACTAGAAATTTCTTCCAACTTACCCTAACTGTACTTGGATATCAAAACTTACCCTCTCTGGATAAGTCTTCTGTGACCCCAAGACAGTTTATAGACTACATATAGTTTTTAACAGTTTCTTCAGAAGCACTACTACTGTAGCACAGTAGTTTATTTTTGTGCTTTATCTGATCCATGGTTTGCTTCCAGTTATGGACTTTTAGGTTGAGTTCTTTTTATCTTGTAGAGACTTGCATCTGGACTCTCGAGAGTTATTCAGAATTATGATACCGTAGCATTTTTTTATGGGTTATACCTTTAAGAAGCTTGAGTTAATCCCACCTTAGCCCATTAAGTCAAAAATGTAACTAGAACTGAAACTCATAATGCCTTACACTTTTTACATTCACAAAATTGGTACTTTAAGTGCAAGTCTAAGGTTTATGGAGTATCAGTGTTGTGGGTCAAGACTTCAGAGTTGCTGATTAAATTGGAATCACTCATCAAACTGTTTAGGAAAAATTTTTTGATAATAGGTACAGAGGTGAAGACCTGATCACATTCTCAGGATTAATAATACTGTAAAGGAAAGTATTTTATATCATGTCCTGCTACTTTTCTATTGCCTATCACATGACTCCACAAAATATATAATAAAATACAGTTACGTTTTTTAATAAATTGGCTTTTTTCCATCAAGACAGTGACCTAAAAGAAACACACTCATCATCACTCAGTCTCTACTTGATTTACCAGAGATGCACAGACAATTATCATTCAAATGACTTTCAGAACTGCAACATCCCTAGCCATCCTTTGGAGTGTAAGCACTATAATTCCCACCTCCACAACTCTAATCTAGCTAATCCTTACTGGGTTATATAAACCAGCTTGAGTGAGTTGCTTACCAGAATTATGATTCCAGTCAAGTGAAGGTGAGTTGACACAAGTGCCAACTCTTTACTTTTAACCCTTTCAGGGTTTTGGCCGTACTAGTACGGCTTATGCACCAGGGTTTTTGACGTACTAGTACGCATAAATTCTAGCACCCTCAAATCTAGTGAGAGAAAGCTGGTAGGCCTACATATGAAAGAATGGGTCTATGTGGTCAGTGTGCACAGTATAAAAAAAATCCTGCAGCACACAGTGTGTAATGAGAAAAAAAAACTTTGTGTTTTTGGATTAAAACAGCGATTTTGCACTGTTCTTTCGTATGGTATTTATTGTTGTATTCTAGTTTTCTTGGTCTCATTCTATAGAATGGAAGACATATTACAGAAATTGAGATGATTTTGACTGATTTTACAAATGTTCGATTTTTACCAAAGTTCAGAAGTAAACAAATCATGCCAAGCGTCCAATACACATCAACTGGTGAGTCTAATATTCTTTCACAAGTGCGCCGATATTATTTATACCATTTTTTACACTAATGCAGTAGTCTGCATAACAGTCAACCTTCTATTTTTTGTGAGAATAAAAATTCAAAGTAGAAAGCAATAGAATGTAAGAGGGGCGTTGGGACATGACTAATGAACAGAGGAAATGTCATTTTAGTGCCAGGAATGTCTTTCTTGTTTATTCTGGACCCTATTTGGAAATTGGCATCTTTTGAAATTTGTGTGAAATTGGCAAAATTGCTAAATTTTGACCACTGTATTGGATAGTTGAAATCAGTAAATGGGTGGATTCTTGCACTCATTCGATAGAAAAAAAAGGAGTTGTAGCGAAATAGTTATGATTTTTGTCAACTAGTACACTGGAATTGGCTGAAAATAGGGCTCAAAGTGGGCAAAATCGCCGATGCGTAAACATCGTCGAGACCGCTAACTTCGCGAGAGCATAATTCCGTAAGTTTTCCATCAAATTTCATACTTTTGGTGTCGTTATGATCGGGAAAAGATTGTCTATCTTTTCACAAGAAATTTTTTTTTTTTTTTTTTTTTTTTTTGAAATTTGGGCGACCCTGAGAACAAGTCTCTGAGAGGGCCTGTTGACCCTGAAAGGGTTAAATGAGCTGTCAACTGAATGACCATTTCTCTTGCAGTAGTTTACTTAATTCATTTAATCAGAAAATTTGAAATGTCCCCAAGTGTCTGCCAGTAATTAGTCATAAGTAATGGTATGTATTACAGGTCATAAACACACCATTATTATTATAGTAACCATGCATCTGGCACTACAGTGAATGCAAGATGATAATGTTGTATAGGGTTGAGCACTGCAACTGGCATTTTATAGTCATAAACCTCTGGTAGGATGCTCCACTTTTACATCATTCATACCACTACTCTCTGACACTTCCTCCTGGTTTTCACAATACCTAGACATAACAGGGAAGAGCTACTGTTCCTGTGGTGGCATATATGCAGTTAGTAGTATCAGTGGCTATGTCTTACTCGGCCACACATGAGGCATTACTTTCAAGGGGAGGCAGCAAGGAAGGAGGATGACAGTAAATTTAAGTTTGATGCCCAGAATACCTTTAATCACTCCCAACTTCTGTTTTAGGTTATTGATGTAATAAATGCATGATGCCTGTGGCAGTTGCCTGTCAGACAACATGGAACAGGTTATTAACCTTCAACAGCCCCTTTCCTCTGAGACTTACTAGAGCTAGATTGCAGATGTGCAACTGCCTTCAGTGTATGCAGGGCAGCATTACTAATCCGTGCTACTAACAGGTGGAGAAACTGATGGTGGGGTGTCTGACCGCACTCAGTACTTCACCACTGCCAAAAACATGCTGGTTTCTGGAGCTGATGCTGTTGAGCGTCTCTTAACTTCATATAAAGTAAGTTGTTTGCACATGGCTCTCTTTTCTGCTTTACTTTTGTTTTTTATTACTCTGCATGGGACAAAACTTTGACTTCAAGGCTAATAAGGATTCTTCTTTAACTTCTGCTGCTGATCACATTTAATATTTTAGCCAATCTGAAACTAGCAACTGAAAAGTATTGCTATGAAATGGAATTTCAGTACTTGTTATGTATGACATGTTATAATGTTCAGACTAAATGTATTTGTACATTCTTTAGGCTTCAAAAAGTGACATAGAGTATTGGAGCACATACTTGGTATCTCAGGACTTAGGGTATGACACCATCACTTATGTGGTGAGTATAGGGTAAGAGACTGCATGACTCTTGTGGTGTAACTCTCAATAAGTTCCTGGTACTTGGTACATAGATGGTTTGTTTTAAAAAGTCAGACATTCAAGGTTTCCTTTGCATTTCTTTTCTGAGGTATTACAAAGCAATCTCATAAAATCTGATTGAGTATTTGACCTTGTGGAATATATTTATAGTACACAGTTGAAAATCTCGCAGATCCTTACTACATATAAGGCGTAAACAAAGGAACATTTATGACCATTCAGGGTAACAGGTTAGCTGGATTTGAGTTGTGGAGATGGGAAGTATGTACAGTACCTGCACTCGGAAGGATGGGGTGGGAAAGTTGCAGTCTGGAGGACCATCTGATCTAATGTCAACACAATTCTGGCAAGACAGTGATTGAATGAATGATAGTGAAAGTGTTTGTTATTCAAGTCAGCCTACCTTGGTAGGAGACGGCTAGTGTTATAAAATAATTGTGATACTATACTTGTGCAGGTGTCATGTCCATTTTTCCTAACAGTACCTAATTGTACAGTATTATATATGGCGGCTGTTTAATAGACTGACTATTACCCACCAAAGCAGGGTGGCACAAAGAAACACGTTTATTATTACTCATTCTCTAGCTGTCTTTCCAGAAATGACAGTCTTTACAATTCAGATAATCCATTGAATTACAACATCCCTGCCCATATCTTCAGAGTCCAGACACTACTCTAGAAGTACTGATACTTATTTACTAGCAACTTATATGACATGCTTGCTGTACTCTAGAAGAGGTAGCCTGCCTCTCTCTCAGTTAATTGTAATACACACTTACTTTTAATGCTTCCTTTAAGCTCCCACTGAGGTAGGGTGACTCAAAAAAAGAAGAAATGGAAAGTTTTCTTCTTTTTACATTTAGTAATTTATACAGGAAAAGGGGTTAGTAGCCCCTTGCTCCTGGCATTTTTGCCGCCTCTTACAATACACATGACTCGCAGAGAAAGGAATCTTCTCCACTTTCCCATGGAGGATTATTTTTATCATCATTATTACTGTATCCTTATTCCTGTATTATTATTACTATTATTATTATTACAGTATTTTGTATTAATATTATAAATATTATAGGAGATTGTGGAGCTGGCTGGTTACACTGCAAGAGTGGGCAATATGCTTGAAGTTTTCAAAGATGTGCAGAAGGGCAAATATAAGCGACCTGCAGTAATGACTGAAGGAGAGAAGGAGCCAGAACGTGAGAGATCATCTCTCCTCGCTTTCTATAATGGGATGCCGGTTATTAATGGTTAGACATGTATTGTTTCTCATTATCAATATTTATTGTATATACAGTATATAGTACAGTATTTGTATAGTTCCTAGTTTTGAAATGGTCCGATAATTTAATAATGGAGAGTTTAAATTGAGCATACATATAGGTACATGTGTACATTATTATGCTAAATAGTTAAGAGGGTTTCTGTTTACAGCATTTTATTTCAGTTTTAAAAAATGCATATATCTATCTTATTAGAATGTGTTTAATGGTGTCCAAATTATAGAAAATTTGTAATACACTGATTGGATATACTGTACTGTAGTCTATCTCTCTTTTATTTGAGCAATAAAAAATGCAGTCAAGAAATTTTTCTCATTGAAATTTTAAATTTTTGGTCTTGCTCAAAAAAATTCCAAATGTAGAGATTTATTATTGAAGTTTTGAGCAGTATCTTTTCTCTCTTGTTAGAAAACCTGAATTAGATTTTTTTTTTCTAATTAATTTGAGGCATTTTCACTGTTACTTGGGAAATTCTGAATTTAGAATTTTCAGATTTTTTTCAAATTTGGGAGAATTGTGATTAAGAGAAATGGAACTATATACTAATTTACATCTTTATTGTTTAACGTTCTAAGTGTTTGGCAATACCAAAATATTATATATTGTGCATAATGTAAAACATTCCCAATATGACAATAAAAAGTACAAATTTTCAAGGCCACCTTTGTTTTAACATGCTCATTTAAAATGTCTTTATGGTTTTCAGGTGTGGTTTCAGAGAGTACCGATGGAACTATAATCTTAGACAATGTTCCTGTGGTGACTCCCAACTGCGACGTGGTGGTACCATCCCTTACCATCACTGTCACACCACAAATGCATCTCCTCATCACAGGTACAAGATAACATTACAATTTTATTCTGAACTACGGAGATGTCATTACCAACCTTATCTTTGTACAATACCCATGTTGTTTAATCACACATATTTTTTAGAGCACTTGGTGTATGTACAGTATGCTGGCCATGAAGTTTTGCGTTGTGGACACCAGAGCTTATCTGCTGTAATTGATTCAAATTCCATTCATATTCCTTCATTAGACTTCAGCTCAAGATCATTTTTCATTATATCACAATTGTTCATGGAATCCAGATTAAAAATATTGTGAATGAGTTTTGTATCCATCTCTGAACCATAAAAACCTCTCTGTGGTGAAAGAAACCTTGCAAGGACTGAAATGGTTCTTGCAAATAATGTCTGACCTTAGTCACAATGAATACTCCCTTTTCCTTACCAGTAGCTTCATATGAACAAAAATGAGCAAAATTTCCATTATAACTGCAATTTATTTTAATTGGAAGTTTTTGAGTGTAGGCTGAAAACTTTTCCTCAGCACTAATCATATCCATTCCTCTTCCTTGCATGGAATTGTTCAATTCATACAGTTCAGTCTTGTACCCCAAGCTTTCCTGTTTTTTGTATACTAGTGGGTACAGTTTTCTTTGTTAGGAACCACTGCTTTACCCCCTTAAACCATAAACCTATCTACACTTTAACCTTTACAATAAAACCCCAAATGTATATAACCTGAACTTATGAAGAAAACCATGATATCCCATGCATCTTTTTTAGGTCCAAATGGGTGTGGAAAAAGTTCTTTGTTCCGCATCTTGAGCGGTCTGTGGCCAGTGTACAGTGGATACCTCCATAAACCTCCAGTTTCTCACATGTTTTACATCCCTCAGAGGTAAATATTTATATACAGAGAGGAGAGAAAAGGAGGGAAATGAGGGGTATAGAAACGTGTAAATTGTATCATGTTTAAATATTAAATGGTAGTGTTTAACTATGCATGTTCAGAGGTTGGCATTCCCTTGACTATCAGCCATTAGATTAAAAAATATTGTCAAACACTCTACCAGAAATTGATGTAATATTTAAATAATTAACAAATGTAAATATTTACTATGTTTATCAGTAGCTTATTAAATTATTTCCTCAGTACATGTATAATCACAATTGTGTAATTATATAAAAAGGTTGTTCATGCTGAATTGTTACACAAAACTGGAAGTATATGTAATATTCCTTATCTAATTCCCTGTACTAAAATTAAGTACAGTGGACCCCGGGTTTACGATATTATTTCATTCCAAAAGTATGTTCAAGTGCCATTACTGAACGAACTTGTTCCCATAAGGAATATTGTGAATTAGATTAGTCTATTTCAGACTCCCAAACATACAAGTACAAACGCACTTACTTAAATACACTTACATAATTGGTCGCATTGGGAGCTGATCGTAAAGCGGAGGTCCACTTTACCTCATAAGTACAGTACTAGTTTTAATCTGCCCAAAATGCTATGCATAAAAAGAGCTTTTCAAATAAATATGTAAATGTTTGTAATCTCACTACTGTGTAGTGTGAATGATGGTGTTTCTTTTTTGGGTCGCCCTGTCTCAGTGGGAGACGGCCGACGTGTAGAAAAATAAAAAGGTAATTTCAAAGCTGAATCAACACCATAAATTTTTTGGAACTAAAATTTGACTTTGATAATACAAATTATCCTCAGGTTTTTATGTAGTGTTGTCAAGTTAAAATGTAAAAATAAAAATAAAAATTTACCAATTGCTCATGTAATTATAGTTTTAAGTTATTCTGCCAGTCTTCATTACATGTTCCATTTATCATAATTTCACAAGTAAAATTATTCTTTAGACCGTACATGTCAGTGGGGACACTACGTGACCAAGTGACATATCCAGACTCGCATGAGGATATGAAGAAGAAGGGTATAACTGATGATGACCTGGTAACCATCTTAGGCATTGTAAACCTCCAGAATATAGTGATACGAGAAGGAGGATGGGATGCCATTCAGGATTGGAAGGATGTCTTATCTGGGGGAGAGAAGCAGCGGATGGGCATGGCCAGACTCTTCTACCATAAGTATGAGTTTATTTATCTCTAGTGTCTGTCTACTTCATGGTTCAGTTTAAATTTAAATTTAATGAGCCCATTTGATACTCCAGATAAAGTTCTCGGTAGATGTCTTTAAAAAAAGGTTTGGGAAAAGACAGAAGGTAGGATTGTAGAAAAACAAAGAGGATTTAGGAAGGGCTGAGGAGGGGTTGTTGAGGCAGTTTGGGTATTTAGAGAGTATGGAGCAAAATAGGATGACTTGGACGGTATAGAAATCTGTAGTGGAAGGGAGGAGGGGTAGGGGTCATCCTAGGAAAGGATGAAGGGAGGGAGTAAAAGAGGTTTTGTGTGCAAGGGGCTTGGACATATAGCAAGCATGTGTGAGCACATTAGATAGGAGTGAATGGAGACGAATGGTTTTTGGGACTTGACGAGCTGTTGGAATGTGAGCAGAGTAATATTATGTGAAGGGATTCAGGGAACCAGTTAGCCAGACTTGAGTTCTGGAGGTGGGAAGTACAATGCCTGCACTTTAAAGGAGGGGTTTGGGATATTTGCTGTTTGGAGTAACATCTAAACTGTCATATCTGCCTGCCTCTGCAAAGAACAGTGATTAAGTATAAGTGATAGTGAAAGTGTTGAATGGTGATGAAAGTTTTTTTCCTTTCATTTTGGGTTATTCTTTCTTTTTGGGTCACCCTGCCTCAGTGGGACTTGGCCAACGTGTTAAAAAATAAAATGATAATAGGCATTGTTTTGCTGTCTTGGGTTAAGTAAACAACAATAATAAATCATGTCTTGCATATATGGTACTTGTGTATCTGATACACTATACAAGTAAATTATTTTGTTCTTTAAGAAAGACACTTAAAATGTAAGATAAAAATCAACAGTTTAAAGTATTCCAAAGGTATATCAAAGGAAAGGTTCTAAATATGTTATGTGAATTATTTACCAGACCACAGTACGCCTTGCTGGACGAGTGCACTAGTGCAGTGAGCATCGATGTAGAGGGTCAGATGTACCAGGCAGTCAAGGACCAAGGCATCACCCTCCTCACCATCACACATCGACCCACTCTATGGTCAGTTTTTTTTTAAATTCAGAAACCTTTCAGAGAATGGAGGCTAGAGTAGGATGACTTAGAGGGCACAGTAGAAAACCTAAAGTTATACAATGATAACTTGTGTTTTCAGTATCATGTGATTTAAATTTAGGTTTTCATTTCCAATAGAAGTGCACCCAGTGCACGGGAGAAAAGTTCATTTCCCTTGCTAATTAAGGAGTGCCAGAGCAGGCAGGCTTGAGACCACAATACACATTAGGCAGCTCCGCTGTCTTAGCACTGTGGTGGAGGATGTAAAGGAGGCTGATGGAATATAAACACCTAGTTTTCCATGTGGGTCAGTGTATTTTAATGTGTACAGTATGATTTAAGCTCACTGCACATTGCTTAGTTTTTCCTTCTTTTCATCATGCCCTATCTCATCTCTGGATATTTATCATGACTTCCAAATGAAGTGCAGGTGATGCTGGTAAAGCAAGGAAGAATATTAAGCATGAGACTATAGCTATTACAAGAAAACTGGAGGTAGTTGAGATGCTGGAGGCTGGTACATACATCATGGAGATGGCACAAATGTTTGGTGTTAGAGAATCAGTGATTTGGTGAATTTGAGACATTGAGGCAAAGATAAGGGCTTACGCAATGAGTAATCCTCAGTGTAACACACTTAAAAGGATTAGGAATGGGTACACAGCCACCCACTCCACTCACTTCAATATGTTTAAACCTCAGTAGAGTTCAGGTATTTCACAGAGTATCATCGTCAACAATGTTAGGCAAGAAAAAATATTTTTCTATGATAATTAAAAAAATTTATATCTTTCTCAATGTGAAGAATGCAACCTTTTTTCCCATATGTTTTCCAGTTCATAAGGGGGATAAGTCTGTTGAGTATACCTGGTAAAGTGTATGGTAGAGTTATTATTGAAAGAATTAAGAGTAAGACGGAGAATAGGATAGCAGATGAACAAGGAGGCTTTAGGAAAGGTAGGGGGTGTGTGGACCAGGTGTTTACAGTGAAACATATAAGTGAACAGTATTTAGATAAGGCTAAAGAGGTCTTTGTGGCATTTATGGATTTGGAAAAGGCATATGACAGGGTGGATAGGGGGGCAATGTGGCAGATGTTGCAGGTGTATGGTGTAGGAGGTAGGTTACTGAAAGCAGTGAAGAGTTTTTACAAGGATAGTGAGGCTCAAGTTAGAGTATGTAGGAAAGAGGGAAATTATTTCCCAGTAAAAGTAGGCCTTAGACAAGGATGTGTGATGTCACCGTGGTTGTTTAATATATTTATGGATGGGGTTGTAAGAGAAGTAAATGCGAGGGTCTTGGCAAGAGGCGTGGAGTTAAAAGATAAAGAATCACACATCAAGTGGGAGTTGTCACAGTTGCTCTTTGCTGATGACACTGTGCTCTTGGGAGATTCTGAAGAGAAGTTGCAGAGATTGGTGGATGAATTTGGTAGGGTGTGCAAAAGAAGAAAATTAAAAGTGAATACAGGAAAGAGTAAGGTTATGAGGATAACAAAAAGATTAGGTGATGAAAGATTGGATATCAGATTGGAGGGAGAGAGTATGGAGGAGGTGAATGTATTCAGGTATTTGGGAGTGGACGTGTCAGCGGACGGGTCTATGAAAGATGAGGTGAATCATAGAATTGATGAGGGGGAAAAGGGTGAGTGGTGCACTTAGGAGTCTGTGGAAACAAAGAACTTTGTCCTTGGAGGCAAAGAGGGGAATGTATGAGAGTATAGTTTTACCAACGCTCTTATATGGGTGTGAAGCATGGGTGATGAATGTTGCAGCGAGAAGGCTGGAGGCAGTGGAGATGTCATGTCTGAGGGCAATGTGTGGTGTGAATATAATGCAGAGAATTCGTAGTTTGGAAATTAGGAGGAGGTGCGGGATTACCAAAACTGTTGTCCAGAGGGCTGAGGAAGGGTTCTTGAGGTGGTTCGGACATGTAGAGAGAATGGAGCGAAACAGAGTGACTTCAAGAGTGTATCAGTCTGTAGTGGAAGGAAGGCGGGGTAGGGGTCGGCCTAGGAAAGGTTGGAGGGAGGGGGTAAAGGATGTTTTGTGTGCGAGGGGCTTGGACTTCCAGCAGGCATGCGTGAGCGTGTTTGATAGGAGTGAATGGAGACAAATGGTTTTTAATACTTGACGTGCTGTTGGAGTGTGAGCAAAGTAACATTTATGAAGGGGTTCAGGGAAACCGGCAGGCCGGACTTGAGTCCTGGAGATGGGAAGTACAGTGCCTGCACTCTGAAGGAAGGGTGTTAATGTTGCAGTTTAAAAACTGTAGCGTAAAGCACCCTTCTGGCAAGACAGTGATGGGGTGAATGATGGTGAAAGTTTTTCTTTTTCGGGCCACCCTGCCTTGGTGGGAATCGGCCAGTGTGATAATAAAAAAAAAAAATAAAAAGTTATGCAAAACATTAGTAGAGCAGTTTTCAGAAAAGTTACCCACACAGATTATGATCATCGTCTGTATATAAATAAGGTGGAAGGAAGGAAGGGTGGGGAAGAGTCATCCCAGGAAGTTGTTGGGAGAAGGGGTACAGGAGGTTTCGAATACTAGGGGCTTGAACATCCGGTAGGCTTGTGTGAGTGTGTTAACACAAATTGAATGGAGACAGAGTGGTTTTTATGGCTTGATGTACTATTGAAATATGAACAAGAGAACTATGAAAGGCTTCAGGGAAAATAGTTTGTTAGACTTCAGTCTTGGAGGTTGGAAGTACAGTACCGAAGATGTTGCAGCTCAAAGAGTCGTCTGAGCTGTGATGTTAGCACACCTTTGGCAAGACAGAGATTGAGTGAATGATGATGAATACATTTCCTCATTTTAGGGGGGTTACTCTATCTTGGCTGGTATATTAAAAATAAATAGACATTGGTCCAATGAAGGATATATTACATTCCCTTCATTATGAATCGTTGTGAAGTTTACTTTAAAATAGTATATGATTAAAACTTCAGATGAAGATCGGGCAGGAATTATGCAGACACTAATACAGCAACATAATTTTCAAGCAAATGTTTTAAATTAAAGTTCCATAAGTTGAACAATAGTGGCTTGCTTTCACACAACATAATTTTTATGACTTAAAGTGACCAGTGTTTTAGAAAAAACTATGTAAGATAACTGTTGGCAACTTTGTAAGCCTTTTAGTCATCTTGATACAGACTCACTGATAAAATATTTAGAAGTTGGTACATAACATTTGTACCAATTTTATTGCTTACATATTGCCATTATCTTGCATAGTGTTTGAACATCTGCTTGGACTACATATGGTAAAGCTTCGTATGGCTCATCTTGTTTTAAAATTTTTGAATAAACAAAATGGAATATTAATTTGTTTCTGAATGCATGCATCTTCTTGTAGGAAATTTCACACACATGTGCTGCAGTTTGATGGGGAAGGCAGCTGGAAATTTGATCGTCTTGACACTGACAAACGTCTTGGACTAAAAGAAGAAAAACAGCATTTGGAATCTCTCTTGTCTGATATACCCAGCAAGATGGAGAGATTAAAGGTAAAGGAAGGAAGGAAGGATTACAAAAGTATAATAGGATGTATAGAAATGTATTTATATATTTGTGGCTACGAAGGTTGAGACTTGGCTCCTTGTCTCCCCTCTTAACTGGTCCATTTTCTGCTAGCCTCATGAGCCATGTCATATGTCATTTGTATAATTCCTTACTCTTTTCTGCAAGTAGGTGTCCATCTTCAATCTCAACATTTATTTATCTGCTGTTGTTTTCCTGAGTTATTTGATGCAAGGAGTGGTGGAAGCTTGATCCTCTTGTGTGCTTATTGTGGCATGGGCTCCTGATCAATCAAGCTGTTGGAAAAGGCTGTGCAATAAGTTTGGTTAAATACTTGATTTGGCTGCTAGGTAATTTTTTAACTGCCTGACCTTCCTCTCTAATTCTAAGGTAGTCATTCATGGCTCTCTTGTTTCCCTCTTTTTTTTTTTCTGATGTATGTCATTTTCTAAACATTTTCCATGCTTATGTTTCTTGGTGATACAAGGTACTTGATTTTGCAGGAACTGTGCAGCATCCTAGGAGAGGACTCCCTGCTGGTTGAGGACACAGCCTTGCCTGATCTGGCCAGTGACACAGCACTCTCAGACTGAGCTCACCAACTGCATGCAATATACACTGCACAATCTTTGGTAAACAGACGGAATCCTACAGAAATTTGCCATGTGATAATGGTTGAGAGTGAGATGGACCTGATTGTCATGGGCCAGTTGGCCATGCACAGTGCTCCTCTTTTCTTATGTTCACCGTCATCATTTTGATTGAAGTATGTATTGCCATCTGTGTTGGGACACTGGAGGCTCTTTACCTCTAGTCATATGTCTTCTACCACATTAAATATGAATGCTCCTTGTAATGTCCTGGAGCAATGGCATTTTAATTGTAAATTTAAGTGATCACAAAAAATATTTTACTTTACAACCATTAGTTCCTGAGTTGTTTTTCAACTTGTTTTAGTAAATTAGCAATGCTAAATTTTGACTTTAAGGTTATTGAAATACTATACAGTATTGTGTTATTTTTAACATGACAAGAGTACAATCAAGGATAGTTCCTTGTATAAATATTTTGAGGCCAGTTATCAGACTAAAGAGTTAGATATATGGTGTCCCTGCTTTGTGCAAAATATTCACTTGTACACAATTTTTCTTTTCCTCAGTGGCCATCACTGCTCATGTTTGAAATATTAGATTGACTTTATAGTTTTACTTGTATGAGAAATAAGCTCATTTAACTTTCATTAACTTTGCTGTATTTGTTTACATTTATGATTTGCATTTGAACTTTTCTCATATGCAGACTCCTCACGCCTATTATTTTTTATCGTTACTGTGTGAGTTGGACCTGACTAGTTTGTGCTACTAGGTCTCATGCCATGCTCCTTCCTTAAGTGGAAGTGACCTGACTAGGTGGGTCATGGGGCTAAGCCCCTCCGGAGGGTAAGATGGACCTGCTTCACATAGGTCAGTAGGCCTGCTGCAGTGTTTCTTCTTTCTTATGTTTAATGTCAGTTATTTCCAGAGCATATTACCATAACTCATATCCAAAGTACGTACTATTTTGTTAAGTGAAAACAACCTTATCATTTCTTGGTTTATTCTGTTTGTGCTTTATTATTTTTATTACTTGACATATTGTTCTAGTGTCCGAATGTTAGTTCAGTCTTGTATGCATTATGTCACAAACAAGAGTGGATTATAAGAGAATATTTTGAATGGGTACATGTGGACAGTGTTTCCAAAGCTAGAATTAAGTTTTAATACCAATAGATATATACTATATATATGCTGTACATATATGCTCTATATATAAGCTTAAAGACTTTTAAAATTTTATACACTTTTTAGTTATAATTAAGCTAAGTGAATGAAATTTACTGTTTATATCATTTTGTTTGTAGAGTGAAGGAGCACCTGTTCTTTGTCTTCATTTTTTTAAAGGAATGATAGTGGAGTGAGTATTGTTTACCTGGAGAGAGTTCCGGGGGTCAACACCCCCGCGGCCCGGTCTGTGACCAGGCCTCCTTAGGTCAGTGTCCCAGGATGCGACCCACACCAGTCGACTCACACCCAAGTACCCATTTTACTGATGGGGAACATAGACAACAGGTGGAAAGAAACACGTCCAATGTTTCTACTCTGGCTGGGAATCGAACCCAGGCCCTCACCGTGTGAAGCGAGAGCGTTAACCACCAGGCCACCATGAAAGGCATTCCATCAGCCCTGAGATTGACTTTCTAAGTAGGCACTTTTAGCTTCTAGTGTAGTTAAAAGATATAACTCCAGATGCTTGCCAGTTTGTTACAAAAACCCAGCTTGTTTACATATCCAGCCAAAAAATATACGGGACTCCTCGACTTCCATATGCCCTGAGTTAAGAATCTTCTTCACTGAATAATGGGGTGCCTAGGAATCAGTTAAAGTTTTACAAGCACTTATCCACAATTATTAATTCATGGGAAATGTAACCATTGTTTATGTATTCTTTTCTCTTGAAATAATAGGTTCAGTTTGAATCAAGCAGCTCATTTGTAAGTTGAAAAAGCAGGGGTATAACTTGCTCATAAGTCAGGGAACCCTGGTACTTCCATTTTTCATTGAATCTGTGATAGTGACTCCAGTCTTGACTTGCAAATACTATTCCAGCTCCTGCACTAGAAGTGGATATCTTTGTCCTTAGGGGCCCTAGTCATTACCAAAAAAAAATGATAAAGATTTATTTATAAAAATATTTGCTTGCCAGTTCTTTTCAGATTTTTCAGGGGTAGTTTTGTGTGATGTGTGGCCAGTATTTGTGCCTGAAGTTATCTTCAGTGCCCCTGTTCAGGGAACCTCTATAAGCAGCTTTTTGTTATTGATGCTATCTCATGCTAGAATTTATGGTCTTGTACATGTTTGTTTTGTTCAGGGATAAGTAAGTATTCATAGGAGAATTATAGCAAAGTGTTGAATTAGTGGTACAGCATAGCAATACATTCTTATCTTATTAATTCAGTTTCCACGTAACCAAAAGCGCTAGAATAATGAAAGAGTTTCACTTGCTGTGTGTGTCAGAAATATATAGAAAATCTATGGATAGTTTGATGTGAAGTGATACCTCTCACCACATGAAGCTGTGGCACAGCAGACACTTCTTGCTCTTAATTGGCGGAAGGAGGTAACACATCACTGTGTTTTGTTTCGGTGAGTGAGAAGACACCTCCCATGCATTTATCATCGCAAAGTATGGAAGAAGAGTCAAATGAGGAAAAGTTAGTTGCAAGGACACAAGTGAACAAGGGAAGTAGGTAAGATAAAGAGAATGTGTAAACATTTTGCATGTAGGTGATGCCATGAGCCACCATTGTATGTTTACTCCCTTCCATACACTTGCAAATAATGTTGTAGTCATTAGTTATACGTGTAAAAGCTCCTCTAAGTTAGAGAATGGGAATTGTTGAATAAATATACAGATTATTCTTTGCTTCAGTGTATAAAATTATACTGAACTGTAATGAATACAGTAACTTTAAAACTGTGAATTATTACATAGCCAATATAAGATTATTTTGAATTGTAAGAGACATAGGTGATCCATCTGGAGGAAGATGGGAATAAAGACACACTAGCCAATACATTGTTTGCCAGTCACTAATTAGCAAGACAATGTGTCTACTATTTTTGCCCACATTTTGCTATATTGTAATGGAATACCAGAGCCATTACCTTACACATCTTAGGAATGAATACATTATATAAGGCATTTTCTGGTAGTGAGGTTTTATGAACCATAGATAATAAACATAAATGCATTTCTTAACCAAAGGAAAAGCTCCAGAATTTCTCTATAGGAGGAGCTTAGGAAAGGAATGATACACAAATAACCTGCACATAAAAGAGAGAAGCTTACGACGACGTTTCGGTCCGACTTGGACCGAAAATGTCGTCGTAAATGGTCCAAGTCGGACCGAAACGTCGTCGTAAGCTTCTCTCTTTTATGTGCGGGTTATTTGTGTATCGTTCCAGTCACGGTATTGTGCTTTTTTTTGTTATTCTTAGGAAAGGAAATCTGGTTGGAAAGAGATGCTGCAGGACTTGTCTTGAAGCTACATTATTAATAGTTATTTTTATATGGGGGTTGCTGCCACTGCTTAACCGTTGTTGTGTGGTGCATTATACTAGGCAATACTGCTTTTACTTTTTGGCTTGAAAGAAAACTAAATAACAGACAACACCTAATCCTGATGAATGTGGATTAATGAGGAGTGAATACAGCGGAACCTCAAAAATCGAACTGCTCCCAACACAACCGATTATGTAAGTGTATTTTTGTAAGTGCTTTTATGAGTGTGTTTTTGAGGGTCTGAAATGGACTAATCTAATTTACATTATTCCTGATGGGAATAAATTCATTCGGTAAAGGCACTCAAACAGCCTTCTGGACCGAAGAAAGTTCGATATTTGAGGTTCCACTGTATATATTAGGAATTATGCAAACCCATTTTAAGTCTGATTGCAAAAATTTAGTCTTTAAGTAAGGGATGAGAGACTGTACTATTCTTGTAATATTTTTCCAGTAGTTTGGCTAACAAAGATGGGAAAATTTCTTTGGGAACTGTAGTTAGAAACATCACTATCTTTTAACACTTCTCAGTATTTCATAACTAACTCACAAATTAGAGAAGTAACCAGATGATGTTTTGGTCTCTCCTGACTATTATCAAAATATAATTCAGAAAAAAAAAAGACAAATCAAATGAAGAGAAATTAGAATATAGTCTAGGTCATATCAAGTTAAATGTGTTGTGATTAGAGCATTACAGCTGGAAAAGGCAGCCATCAACAGACACAAAGGTAAGGCTTAAGATTCACGTGAAGAATGTTTTGTATAAGAATCATTAGTTGTCAATTGTTCTAGCCTTGATATTGTAACTTTTATTGTGCTCCTCATAATGGTCAAGAATAAAGAGCCCTTATAAGATAATGCCACCCAAACAAATATGAAAGTTGCAGAATAAAGTATACTGTGTTGATACAGTATCTAAGTCATATCATAACTAAAATAGTAATAGACATAATGGTGCATGCATATAGTTTAAGAGTATTGGTGTAAAGTGCATGATAGATTGAAGGTGTGTTTGGCATAGTGTATGTGATGATACATGTGTCTTGTGGCACCACCTATCCTGTTCATTCCAATGTTAGTTTCATACTATATGCACTGAAGCCAGTTTCTCTACATTTGTTATTTACTTTAGTGAGTAATTTTTTTTTTATCACACCAGCCATCTCCCAATGAGGTAGGGTGACCTGAAAAAGAAGAAGCACTTTCACCATCATTCACTCCATTACTGTCTTGCCAGAGGCGTGCTAACATCACAGCTCAAATGACTTTTCCCTGCTGCTCCTTCAAAGTTCAGGCATTGTACTACCAACCTCCAGGACTCAAGTCCACTTAATTGGTTTTCATCAATCCCTTTATAAATATTACCTTGTTTACACTCTAACAGTACTTCATATCATAAAAAAAAAATTTGCTTCCACTCACTTGTATCAAACACTCAAACAAACCTGTTGAAAATCAACATTCACATTTCAGTTAATGCTAAAATACGAATGATGATTGTTACATTTTCCAAGGTCTTGAATATCAGTAAAATTCAGACTTTTTGCATGGGAGAATTGGTCTAGTACTAAATATAGAGCAAAACCATTTATAAATTATAAAGGAGGGATGAGGAGGTTGCAGTGTGGAGGTCATCTGATCTATGATGTCAGTACAGTTCTGGCAAGACACTGAGTGATGGTGAATGTGTTTCCTCTTTTTGAAGTTTTTTTGTCACCATACCTTGGTGGGAGACAGTTGGTGTGTCAAGAAATAAAAAAAAAATCATGAAGAGTATGTCCAAGGAGCAGTAATGACAACATAAGAAATGTATAAATAAGGGCTAGCAGTATCAGTGTGGTGAGTAGGTAAGAATGTGATATATATACAGTACACCCCCCTCCCCCCGGTATCCTCGGGGAAATACATACCAAGACCTGCCATGGATACCTGAAACTGCAGGTAGTAGTGACCCCAATATATGTTTTTTTCATTTACATACGTAACTATGATAAATTACGCACAGTAAGTTGAGAATTAGCACTTTTTCACTGATGGGAAGCTTCTCCCAGGCTTTGAAGAACTGCCAGCAAAACTACTTTTGCACTTTGGGGTCATTATTAAGCAATATTAAGGGTTATTTTTGGGTCATGGTAAATTATTATTATTATAATCAAGGGGGAAGCGCTAAACGCGGTGGATTATACAGCGCCTGGGGGGATGTAGAAGGCATTCAGGCTTAATTCGGGGAACTGGAGCACAGATCCAATTCCCTAAATCAAGAGCCCCTCACCAACATCAAGGAACCTTCCTTGAGGGGGAGTCATGGTAAACCGTGGATAACTGAAACCGTAGAAACCGGATACGGGGGTTCTACTGTATATTTAGTGATTAGTGCTCAGACATAATGTGGAGTTACAGGTCTTATTGAGAAGTATTGTAGGAAGATACTTAGGGCAGAGCAAGACCTTATTATAGACAATGTTGTGCTCTGGGTAGAGCTTTATTGGTAAAGCTCTAAGCTGAGGAATTTTTCAAGGGAGGTACTTCGATGCTGGTAAAGGGCTCTTGATCCAAGGAATTGGAGCTACCCTTTCCTTGAATCAAATCTGATTACTTTTCATTCTCCAAGAGCTTTATGACCTGTACTGGCTTAGCATTCTCCCAGAATGAAGCATAGTGTATGCTGAAGATTAATGATGCAGCAAATGTCTTTCAAGCAAGCTAATGCATAATAAACTGTAAATGTGTAGAATGATTATGCTGGTGAGTGTTTCCTTGGACTCATTTCTCAGTGAGTCACAAGAAGGTATTGAAATTATGCAGTAAAAAGGTACAAAGTGTGGGAAAGTCAAGTCTGGGGGTAGATTCAGAGTTGGGGGTTCAAAAGAAACAGAAGATCTCATCACTGCCACCAGTGTGGGATCTTGCATGTTAGTAATAATAATAATAATAACCAACAATGTTAAGTAAATGATGGCTTGACCAAGTTCCTGGAGAGTGAAATCTTGTCACAATAAGGTGTCACATTAGTTGCATCTGTATCCATTTAATTAACATCTTACATGTTGTTTTCCCTTAAACCCTCAAGTTTGACTCCCACACTAACACAGTAATGATTTAATTTATTCTGTGATTCATATTACATTTTAGCAGTTATAAATATAGTCAAACACTGTTTAAAGTTCACTTATTAAATGCTCTTTTGTCATCAGAGTTTTCATTTAGGTACTATACCTTAGTTGATTTATCATAATTGTTTTTCTCTTTACACTAGTCAAGCTTTTTATGTGAGCCAACCTTTGCTAAATTAACAGTTCTTTGTCTATAGCAGTTTTTTAAATAAATTCATGTACTGTACTGTATGTGCAAATGATTTCTCTACATGTTAAAATAAAATTAGAAATTGCATAATATTTCATATTTCCATAATGATATTGAAACAGTAATTGTTTTTTTAACACATGTGCTATCTCCCACAGAGGTAGGGTGAAGTAAAAAAAAGAAAAAGTTTAACCATCATTCAGCACTTCCATCATTCTTTGCAGGGGCACTCAGATAGGACAGTTTAGATGTCACTCCAAACAGCCAATATCATAAACCCCTCCTTTAAAGTGCAGGCACTGTACTTCCCACCTCCAGAACTCAAGTCCGGTTTCTGTAAATCCCTTCACAAAATATTATCCTGCTCATACTCCAACAGTTCATCAGGTCCCAAAAAGTCATTTGTCTCCATTCACTCCTATCTAATGTGCTCACACATGCCTGGTGCATGTCAAGGCTCCTTGCACACAAAACCTCTTTTACCCCCTCCCTCCATCCTCTCCAAGGACAACCCTTACCCCTCCTCCCCTCTAATACAGATTTATACATCCTCCAAGTTATCCTATCTTGCTCCATCCTCTCTAAATGGCCAAGCTACCTGAACAACCCCTCTTCAGCCCTCTGAATAATACAGGTACCATCCGACTTACGATCACGCTTCATTCCAATCAACCGGTCGTAAGTCAAAATGGACGTAAGTCGAACCTTACTACTGAATATCAACATCGCACTTTTATAATGATTTTATTTTATTGTTTTATTTTGGTATTTCATTTTTTACTTTTTATGCTGTTAGTACTGTATTTTATACTGTAAGGTTTAGGATAAACACTATGTACAACACAAAGAGTTGTTTATTTCCCAGAAATTTGGCATACAAAACACGGTCGTAAGTCGAGTGGTCGTATGTCGAGCAGGTCATAAGTCGGATGGTAGGTGTACTTCTAGTAACTCCAAACTTCCTAGTAATTTCCACAGTACCAATTCTCTGCATAATACTTACACCACACACTGCTCTTAGACACGACATCTCTACTGCCTCCAGCCTCCTCTTTGCTGCAGCATTTACATCCCCATGCTTCACACCCATATAAGAGTGTTGGTACCACTATACTCTTGTACATTCCTTTCTTTGCCTCCATGAATAACGTTTTTTGTCTCCACAGATACCTCAAAGCACCACTCGCCTTTTTTTCTTCATCAATTCTGTAGTTAACCTCATCCTTCATAAACCCATCTGCTGACAAGTCTACTCCCAAATATCTGAATACATTCACTTCTTCCATACTTCCTCCCTCCAATGTGATATCCAATTTTTCTTTGCTTAACTTATTTGATACCCTCATCACCTTACCCTTATCTTTGTTCACTTTCAACTTTCTACGTTTACACACCTTCCCAAACTCGTCCACCAACCTTTGCAACTTCTCTTTAGAATCTCCCAAAAGCACAATATCATCAGCAAAAATTATTTGTTTCAACTCCCATTTTATATTTGATTCCCCATAATTTAATCCCACCCCTCTCCCCAACACCCTAGCATTTACTATAAATATGTTAAGCATCCATGGTGACATTACACATCCCTGTCTAAGACCTATTTTTACTGGAAAGTAATCTCCCTCTCTCCTACACACCCTAACCTGAGCCTCACTATCATGAAAACTCTTTACAGCATTTAGTAACTTACTACCTATTCCATACACTTGCAACATCTGCATTGCTTCCCTATCCACCCTATCATATGCCTTTTCTAAATCCATAAATGCAATGAAAACTTCCATACCTTTATCTAAATATTGTTCACTTATATGCTTCAATGTAAACACTTAGTCTACACATCCCCTACCCATTCTAAATCTTCCTTGTTCATCAGTAATCCTGCTCTCTGTCTTCTCTCTAATTCTTTCATTAACCCTACTGTACACTTTTCCTGGTATACTAAGTAAACTTCTTTCCCAATAATTTTTACAATCTCTTTTGTCCCCATCATCATCATCATCATCATCATCATCATCATCATCATCATCATCTCATCATCATCATCATCATCATCATCATCATCATCATCATCATCATCATCATCATCATCATCATCATCATCATCATCATCATCAATCATCATCATCATCATCATCATCATCATCATCATCATCATCATCATCATATCATCATCATCATCATCATCATCATCATCATCATCATTATCATCATCATCATCAATCATCATCATCATCATCATCATCTTCATCATCTTCATCATCATCATCATCATCATCATCATCATCATCATCATCATCATCATCATCATCATCATTCATCATCATCATCATCATCATCATCATCATATCATCATCATCATCATCATCATCATCATCATCATCATCATCATCATCATCATCATCATCATCCCTATCCCTTTGAGGGTCAACAGGCCCTCTCCGAAACTCGTTCTCAGGGTCGGCCAAATTTAAAAAAAAAAAAAATTATTTTCTCTTATGAAAAGATAGAGAATCTTTTCCCGATCATAAAGACACCAAAAGTTTGAAATTTGATAGAAAACTTACGGAATTATGCTCTCGCAAAGTTAGCGGTCTCGGCGATGTTTACGCATCGGCGATTTTGCCCACTTTGAGCCCTATTTTCGGCCAATTTCACTGTACTAGTCGACAAAAAACATGAATTTTTCGCTAGAACTGCATTTTTTCTAACGAATGGGTGCAAGAAACCACTCATTTATGAAATTCAACTATCCAGTACAGTGGTCAGAATTTAGCAATTTTGCCAATTTCACACAAAATTCAAAAGATGCCAATTTCCGAATAGGGTCCAGAATAAACAAGAAAGACATTCCTGGCACTAAAATGACATTTCCTCTAGTCATTAGTCACGTCTCAAGACCCCTCTTATATTCTTTTGCTTTCCACTTTGAATTTTTATTTTCACAAAAAATATAAGATTTACTGTTATGCAGACTACTGCATTAGTGTAAAAAATGGTATAAATATTATTGGTGCACTTGTGAAAGAATATTAGACTCACCAGTTGACGTGTATTGCACACTTGGCACGATTTGTTTACTTTTGAAGTTTGGTAAAAATCGAACATTTCGGCTACTTTGAGCTCAATTTCAAGGCACCTTTCTTTGTAAAACCAGTCAAAATCATCTCTATTTCTGTAATATGTCTTCCATTCTATAAATTGAGACCAAGAAAACTAGAATACAACAACAAATACCATACGAAAATACACTGCAAAGTCGCTGATTTATTAAAAAAAAATGGTCAAAGTTTTTTTTTCTCATTATGCACTGTGTGCTGCAGGATTTTTTTTAGACTGTGCACACTGACCACATAGACCCATTCTTTCATATGAAGGCCTACCAGCTTTCTCCCACTAGATTTGAGGCCGCTAGAATTTATGAGTACTAGTACGTCAAAAACCCCTACGCGTAAGACGTACTAGTACGACGAAAACCCTCAAAGGGTTAATAGTGCTTGACAGAAAACAAATCAACAGAATGTAATTTACTTTGTATATCTTGAAAAACTTGAACTTAAACTACATGTACTTGACATTGTATACAATATTGGTTATAGTATTTGACTGCTATGGTCAATATACTGCAAGTAAATTGTCTGAAGATGATATTAAACACTTTATTTACCAAGAATATACATTAGTTACAATAGAAGGTTACCAATGCATACATCTTATAAGGAGAAGCCCATAGTTTTGCATAACATTTTTAGCAGTCTAAGCTAGGACTAGTACTACAATATAAAAACTGGACAATGTACTGTGTATAAATGTAGGACATAACACAATATAAAATTATATACTATTTTAAAACACATTTTAATAACCACTTAGGTAATTATATTATTAAACTTAAACATAACAAGAGAATTATACATAAAATAAAGAAGTAATGAGGTGATAATAAAGACATTGAATTTTTCAAAAAATAAGGAAATATGGTGTAATTTATAACTTGGACATCAAAGTATGATGGGAGTTAACAGAATTACATTATAAATTATTTCAGATGAAATATATTAAGAACAAAATTCTTTATAAAGCTTTTGTTTTAATTAAGTTAGAATGTCAGGCTGGCTCTAACTGGGGGTCATTGAGAGGTTGGTGTGGAAATGATATCACAGACTGCTCTGATCTTTGGTTTATTGCCAAGTATGACTTGCCGTCTGTCTGTGACCTATCCTCGCTGCTGGCTACATAACTGTTTGGGTAAGAGTGGACATGCCAAGAAGCAAGTTTAAAACTGGGGTCAGTGTCTTGAGCCTTAACATTTCTAAGCTGTGAGAGTTGTAATGACTTTGGTGTGAATAGACATGGCAGGTATACATACATGACAATACATTTTTAATTCATCTGGCAAATTATTCAATGTGTCTGGACCTTTTACTTGCATCAAGTATCTACAGAGGTTCATACAAACATGAGGAATATCAATGAGGCATTTGTTTTGAGTATGATGTCTCTATGTTTTTTGTTTTTGAGGTCAGCATCAATATTATAGTGTGGTATTTTGAAGATGTGGAGTAAAGAGTAGTATTATATTAATATTGAGTAGGTTTAGAGGTTTGAATAAGGGTACTGTATATTGCCTAAAATTTGAGTTTGAGGTAGTTCTAATAGCTTCCATTTGTGTGGTAATTTTGAGATAGACAGCTAAGGTACAACCAAGCACAAATTGCAATGGTGAGGTATGAGTAAATGAGAGAGACGGCGAATGTTGGTATAGACTGAAGAAAATAAAGGGAATGTATGGGAGTATAGTTATACCAACTCTCTTATATGGGTGTGAAGCATAGGTGGTGAAATGTTGCAACAAGGAGAAGGCTGGAGGCAGTGGAGATGTCATTTCTGAGGGCAATATTGTGGTGTGAATATTATGCAGAGAATCCGAAGTGTGGAATTACAAGGTGTGGGGTTACTAAAAGTATTATTCAGAGGTCTGAGGAGTGGTTGTTGAGGCATTTAGTGATGATGGAACAAAAGAGAATGACTTGCAGAGTGTATAAATCTGTAGTGGAAGGAAGGCAGAGTAGGGAGTCAGCCTAGGAAAG